TGTATATTCATCCGAGATTACATAAATAAATAAATTTACATAAGCACGAGTGAGTGTTGTATTTATCGGTAAACCAAATATCCAATGTCGGTGATGGAGTGAGCAACGTAACGGAGGCACATCGTGATCTGGCTGTTTCGATCGCGTTTTCTGTGGAGGAGGCCTGGCCTGGCCGTCGACGGTTGGCGGGATCGGCCGGAGGTCTTCGCCTACTCCAATGGTGGTTGGCGGCATAATTTCTAATGAAGAATTTGCACATCATAATTTTTCGTCTTTGAAAAATGAATTCTGAGGTCCCTTAGCTTGCAAATTGATACCTGCAGGCCAGGGATTCCCTGTTGTGTCTGTGTTCCTAATATTCAAACTTTAATATTGTCGCCTTGAGCATATGGTAACATCTTTAGAAATTTCTGTGTAAGTGGTCGGAGGGATACTTTTAGAATGTTGCAATGCAAGCCACTGGGACGACTGATAGATTCTTCATCCAATTAAGGTAGGAGTTGGCTGGCAATTGGCTTACTGGAAAGGTAATAAATTTTTTTGAATTGGGTGCTATGCAAATATAATAATGATGCATATATGCTTGTGTTTCTGCTTGCTTACTCTTAGGCCTAGCTTAATGAATTACAGAATCAAACATATATAGAGGTAATTGCATGTACCTTAGCTTCTTTGAATTGGTGACCATTGGGATTTATGTAATACTGCATTTTGACACACAAAATATTCAGTTTCACTATATATGTCATTGATCGAGAAACCAATTCTATATGCAAGTAGTGCAGTTGATTTAATATTATTAAAGCCTAATTATTATGCCCTGTAGCTTTTAAGAGTGACAATGAGAAACCATCAGGCTCTTATAGGAGAATAATACAATCAACAACTCCTTTTTGGATTGAGCTAGCTAGGATGTGGTGGATTAAGTTGATATAGTGATATGGATTACGGAATGCAAGACATGTTTTTGGATGATGGTGGAAGGAGTGGAGGTGGAAATGATACCATACACAATTAGATATGAGTCAACAACACCAAATGCTACAATTGCGTGAGTGAATTTCAGTTTTTGAAAACAGGGAATTAATGCAAGTAAACAGGTGTATTTTGAAGATAATGTCCTCAATCACCAAAACGGATGCCCGGAAGGCAAGGCAAACTCGGCATTGAATGATAATGATGATGATCTATTGCAGTACATCGTGACTGATCACCCTGTGATTGTGATTGTGATTGTGATTGTTTGTTGGACAGTTATCCATTTATTTATCCCTTTTGCAAACATTTTATTGGTAGTACGTTTTCTAATCCATTTTAGACATTAATATGTTTAATTCATGATAGGATCGGACATTTTGTCTATTTTATTTTTGAATGACGGTTTTAATATTCACATGAATATTTAATTTTATTCTCAAATCAATTTATTAATATATGAGTCCAGTAGTTATGCAGGCCCGGTCCTATCATTTTATAGGCCCAGAGCGTAACAACCAAAATGGGCCCTATATTAAATTAATATATATTTTTATAACTAAAATTTAAATTAAATAAAGAAAAAGTGCTAATGTCAAATAATTCAAAAGTTTTTAACAATTATACATACATATGAAAACAATTCTAGATGCATTCTTAAATCCAAAATAATCAATAACCGCATTGCTTTCATAAATAAAGAATTATACTTTATAAAAACGAATAAATAATTTAAAACCAAATGAGCTTATAGAGAATAATCGTAGTTATTGGGAGCAATAAATCAAAATACTCTAAACGTACGTGATAAAAGATAAATATTCATAATAAAATATGAAACATAATTAATTGGATAAAATAGTTCGAATAAAAAAAGACATAATAAATCACACATCTTCTTTATTGATATCAAATTTATAAATACTTTTTTTCTTTTAGTTAAATTAATTTCAAATTTTTCTATATTAATTTGAATACATGACGCACAATAGGACTTCTAAACTACATTGACTAGATTTTTTTTTTTTGAAAGGACATTGACTAGATAATTCATAAAAAAAAAAGAAGAAAAAAACTAAATTATTTTTAAAAATATTTTTCATAACTAAATCACAAAATATATTATATATAAATAACTCATTATAAAGTTCACAAAATAACACATTTTTTAAATATAAGTAGTAAATTACTCGAATGGAAATAGATTCAAATTTTGATATTAATCATAAATCAATCTATATTATAAACTCAATATATTTTTTTTGAAAGTCAACCTGGCGGTTGTATTTATAGAAGAGTTAAAATAGAGTCTGGTGGAACATTGTCCCAGTACATAGCAGTAGCGAAACTAAGTGCTGAAGTAGCTAGTGTATGAGCTAATAAATTCTGTAATCTAGGAATATAAATTACTGAACAATAAGTAAAGGTAGCTATATAGGTTCTGCAACTATCGGTAGCATAACCTAAATACGAGCGTGATGTGGCTGGTGGCCCAGATAAGTAGCACTGTAGCTGTTGACAATCCGTATGAATCTGTATAGATAGTTCATTCATCCTTTTAAGCCATGATAATACCTCTTTGCATGCCAATGTCTCGGCCATGAGCGGTGAGTGGCAACCTGTTAACGGGGCGCTGAAAGCAGATATGTAGCGGCCATTGGCATCGAGGAGTACCGCACCAACAGCTCAATATATATAATTATAGAAAGGTAAAAAATATTACAAAGTTACAAATTAAATTTGAAAAATACAATGTAATAGAGCCAGTAACTTTCAAAAACAAAAAAAAAATTGAAAAATACAAATTAGAAATATAAATAACTCATTATAAAGTTCACAAAATAATACATATTTTTTTTAGAGTACAAAATAACACATGTTTTAAATATAAGTAGTAAATTACTCGAATAAAAATTGATTCAAAATTTGATATTAATCACAAATCTCACTATAATAATTATAAAAAGGTAAAACAAAAAAAATCACGAAGTCACAAATTAAATTAAATAAAATACAAATTTAAAATATAAATAAATTTCATAAGGTATCATGTAATGTGATGACATCTTAGTTATTATTGTTTATGGATGGTCGTAGATTCAAACCCTGATAGTGGGGGCTTAAATTCTTTGAGCTGACAAATACTACCATATAAAAAATTATGAGTATTTCAAAAATATCATAAGTTATAATTTTAATTCTATATATAATAATAATATCAATATTATCCCAAAATTTATCTACTAAAGAGTATCGAATGAAATCTTAATGCAAAGTTAGTCACAAATAAGTTGGAACCCTTGACCTTGCACATAGAAACCACAAACCCTACCAACTCAACTGGGTTTCAATTTGGTAACAAAAATTTATAATAAAATTATTATACTAAACATTTACAGTATATATAAAAGGTAATTGGATAGCTAGGGTGGTGGGCCCCTTCCAAGTGTGGGCCCTGGGCAAGGGCCCAGCCTGCACTTGCCCAGGGCCGGGCCTGTAGTTATGATCTACATCACATTATATGTTTTAAGTGGAGCAGTAACCCAAATATTGCATATAGCTTTGTCTGTCCGGGATACAACGGTTTATAGGAGTAAAGAAGACAAAAATGAGGGTAGTTACATATTGTATGTAATTTCTATTGATCTAGTAGCCCAAGAATGGAAGTCTGTTTATTTAAGTAGAGGGGCTATATATGCACTGTTTTGATAATTGAGGGGCAACATTTACACCACTCATAATTCAGGGGTGACATTGATAATTGACATATTATAGAGGGGCATTTTTTACAATTTTCCCTAATAATAATAATAATAATTTAGATCTTAAAGAGCCTCCTTTGGAAATTAATAGTCAACTTGAGATTGGAAAAGCTAGAATGTCCATTGATAGAAAGGACGGCTAAGTTTTCTGTTGATTCGGGTTCCCCTCTCTCATTCCCAAAAAAAAAAAAAAAAATTATTTTTTTTTGAAAAAGAAATTATTTAATAAACTTCATGTTAAGGTTGTTTTATAGGCATGAAATCCATGAATTAAGAATTATCAAAGAAGAAAGTGTGTCTCTAATCTTGAAAATGATTTTGAAAAGGAAGACAAAATAATTTGTTAGTTTGTTGTAAAACATGTGCTTGCTTGCTTCATTGATTGTATGTTTTCCATTTTTATGCTAAGTTGCTAACAGAATCGAAGGAAGAAAAGAATTGCTTATACAATTTGTAGTATATCACATTCAAGAAATAATTAAATTTTGATAATTATTTGTATCACACTCAATATATGTATGTTTTTCTTTAATTTAACGCCACTAACCATCGCCCACAAGAGGATTTTAATTTGGTACTTGTCATTTTCTTGTTTTTTGTTTTTCTCCCAGTGAGGGAAATGTCACTTTTAATTATTTGCCTACCTAACATATGATATATATGAATGAATTTGCATACACTTTGGACTGTAGTTTTCCTCGTTACCCACTAATAATAACTCCCTCCGTCCCATTCAATGTGTCTCGTTCGGTTAATGAGGCTTGACTGAAATTATTTTTAATTAAGTTTTCATAATATTAAATTTAGTATTAATATACAAAATTTATATATTTAGAAACTACACTAAAAGTACGTAAACACAAAAAACCAAATTTAAAAACAAGTAAAAAATAATAAAGAAATTAAATAAAGAAGAAAGACTTGTGTTGACAATAGTACGTAGAACAGATAAAATGAGATAGTGGGAATAATATGCTAGTAATGCCTAATAACATTTCTTTTGGGTTCCTCCAGATCCTAATGCACAACCTTAGATCCTAATGCACAACCTTATGTCCTGGTGAGTATATATTATTTTTTATTGTTTAACTAAGATTTCATTTTTTACCCTCATTATTTAACTCATTAACATTTTCCAGTCACTTTTTGTCGGTAATTTAGACAGAGTGATAAAAATTGATAAAAATTGAATAATTAAAGTACTAAATTAACAATTTTAAAAATCGTGGGTTGCAATTAACAAAATTCCTATAATTTCAGGACCAAAATTGAAATTTATTCATTTCTTTATTAATAAAATACAAAATAAAAAAATCCCCAATCTGCGGATTTCGTGTATATATACACCCCACCATTGAACCCTTTATTACAACCACAATACCCTAACCCTCAATCGCGCCGCGCCGGAAACCTAACCCTCAATCGCGCCGCGCCGGAAACCTAACCTTCAACCGCCTTGCAAATATCTATCACAAATGGAGAATTGCAAATTACCCAGGGATGTGCTGATAGAGATTTTATCCCGAATACCGGTAAAGTTTTTGATGCGATTTAAATGTGTTTGTAAATTTTTCTATGCTCTGATAAAAAGAGATCGTGACTTTATGCATAAACACTACGAGATTAGTCGAGCAAAGAATGATGATTGTGCTGTTCTACATTTTGAACCTTATTGTTGGCCAGATTTTAATGAGATATATAATTTGGTTTACAAAGAATCTGCCACTGATGAGATCGGAAGTATAAAGCTAGACATACCAAATTCAACAACATCGTACATCATATGTTGTGATGGCATGTTATGTTTGATTCTTGGCAGAGGTGATTTCACTCTCCAATATAGTGATGCTACAGACTTGATTTTTGATTTTCTGATATGGAATCCATTCACTCGAGAAACTAAGAATTTACCCTCTGTTAAGGTACCTGCCATAAAAAAACCTGTTAGATATGGTATATTTGGAGGGTTTGGATTTGGGTTTTCTAAAAACATGTCTGTGAAGATTGTGTTGCTTTGGCATTTTGAATATAACTTTATTGAAATCCAGGATAGCTATGAAATTGTAATGGTCTGTAGTCAGATTGGTGATTCGTGGGGTTGGAGACAAATTGATGAGGTCCCGGGTGCTGCCGTGCAGTCTGATCAGAGTTTTTATTTGAAAGGGAGGTATTACTGGCGGTGGTTTGGTGACCTGAAAATTGGCCGTTTGGTTTGGTTTGACTTTAGTGATGAAAATTTTGGGATAATTGAGTTCCCTACTCGTTGCTTTGTTGCTTCGGTTACCATCATGAATGACAACATCGCTTTACTTAGTTGTGAGGGTCCAACGGTTGGGGGTTTAAGTTGGGAGGGTCCAAAGGATTGCATCGAGATTTGGTTAATGAGTGAGAATGAAAATGATAGTAATATTTATTGGCATAAGCATGCAAGCATAAACTGCACTACAAGTATTGAGTATCGTAAGAATTGGAGTCCGGAAGGAAACTTTTCTAGGGATAAAGAATGTTGGAGTCCAATAGGGATTTGGAAGTTGGGAGGTCGTGATCATTTGCTCGTCTGTCCGGAATACAACGGTTATAGGAGTAAAGAAGACGAAAATGAAGGTCGTTACACATTGTATGTAATTTCTATTGATCTTGTAACCCAAGAATGGAAGTCTCTTTATTTAGGTGGAGATGGGAGGACTATTAATATTCTTTCAAACTCAGATGGGTTTGTTAAAGTTTGCAGTGAGACTCAGACGAACTACATTACTTTTAGAAAGCATTATTTTCATTTGGATTACCTTGGCCCGTATGTGTCTGTATCAGGTTCTGCTCGAGTTCTTAGTGAGAGTTTAAAATTACTTTAATAAAAAATATATATATACTCTGTAGTTTGTACCTTGTTACTTGACTATGCAAGGATCTATATACTGCTTTCTCTTTCTATAAATCTTGATATATAATAACGTTTAATGTTAACTTTCATTCTTGAATTGCATAACTTCTCTCTCCCGCAAGAGTATATTTAAAGTTTACATTAATGCCATATTAAACTTTCCCAGACGAGCCACACAACTGAAATTATGAATGGATGGATTCCAACATTCAATTCACATTGGCAAGTCTAGGCATATGCAGTGTGATTCTTTGTAAATCAAGTTAAATACTTGATTAGGCCGGGGCTCGAGAACAGTATTGGCCAGCTCAGAGTTGATAACAGCACATTGGCTTTTTCCTTTCGTGTTTGTACATGAATTGATGGTTGTTTGTACACTTGGGCGGGATACTCCGAGCACCAGCATGCAGAGATTCCCTGTTGTGTCTGTGTTCCTAATATTGAAACTTTAATATGGTAACATCCTTAGAAATTTCTGTGTAAGAATGTTGCAATGCAAGCCACTGGGACTGATTCTTCATTGAAATGAAGGGGAAGGGCTACTGGAAAGGTAATAATTTTTTTTTTTTTTTTTTTTTTTTTTTTTGGGTGCTATGCAAATATAATAATGATGCATGCTTGTGTTTCTGCTTACTCCTACCTTAATGAATTACAGAATAAAACTTGGCAGATTTGTTTGCTTCCTGCTTCTGACTAGCCTGAATTGAATATAATGTTACCTCACATGTTTGTTTGGGTTTATTTTATTTCAAATATATATATATATATATATATATATATATATATATATATATATATATATGCCGATTCAAGAGTATCTATCAAACTAGTGAGATAGAACAGAATCGTTGTAGTTTTGACCTTAAACAACCGTTTAATTTGCTTAATTGTTGTGGATCGGATGATGTGCTTGGATTTATATATGGATCTAAATGTGTGGCTCAGTTAGTTGAATACTGTGAACTGGTATCTAGCTTTTTGGATTGAGCTAGGATGTGGTGGATTTAGTTAATCTGCTCAGCTTCTCACTGCTGGGAATCTCGCCATTTCCGTCCAACATTTCCGTCATATCGTAAATTGGTCGGTATTTTAATAAAAATTTCTACTTCTTGTCGCTAAAGATGGGTGGACGGAAAATTGGTCAGACTTTCCGTCCAACGCGCGAGTGTTGGATAGAACTTCCGTCCAACTTGTGGTGTTGGTTGGTAAACTTGAATTGACTAATAGGTACAAATTGAAAATAGTAGGTATTTTAATTTATGTCATGTTGGACGGAAATTTAAATATTTTAGCTAAAAAATAAAGGAAAATTGGAATAGTAGACACTAAATAGATAAGGTTGTGCATTAGGATCTATGGGAACCACAGCCCCTGAAAATCGAAAGGGCCACAACCCGTGTATGCTGAAGTGTTATCTGATTTAATAGTGTCTGCAATTAGTATTAAGCAATGCACATAACCTAGGGGCCAATAAATTGAAAGAATAAACCTATCCCATGCATATTGGGAATAAGAGTTTCCCATCAATGAAAAAAAAGTCACTATAGCAACTATATTTTTCATCTATCTTTTTTTTTTTTTTTTTTTTTTTTTTTTTTTTCCTTAGCTTGATTATATTGTTAGTGGTGCTTTTGAGTTTGAGGTATGCAATGTTACATTGGCTTACATATTTATAGCAACATTTATATATTTTAAAATTATACTACGTACTCTTTTTGTGTGCTAGCTATAATCTTCCTAGCTTCCATCACATAGTCTTTGTGTGCTAGCTATATCTTCCTAGCTTCCATCATATCACTATCACAATCTTTATAAAAGTAAAAGGTGCAATTTTTATATACATACTCTTTGTGTGTAAGCCATAATACCCCAAACTAGATGGAGTGGCTATATGGATTTTATTATTCCATTTTGCCCTCATTGTGGGTGCCCTTGCACCGGCTGATTAATATTTTCAAATGGCTAAAAAGTAAAATAAAACAACTAGTAAGCAATTCAATTAGCAAACCTGGATCTCCCTAGCTAGGAAATGTGGCACTAAAAAGCATAGTCTTCCTTTCACCAGGTGGCCTGGGGGCATATGATTTGAGGCTCAAACCCCATATCCAGCCTAGCATTCGATCTGCCTCATCAAGGGCCAGATATCTAATTATATATCTATCTATAGAGAAACTTTAGCCCTCTCAAGCAGATATGTAAATATGCAGATATCCCTCATTTTATTTTACTTTGATCATCATCAAAATTTTAATTTCAAAGGAAGCTACTATTGGTGGGTTCAAGCAGATATACTATACGCCTCAGAATTGAACATAGAGCTAGCAAAGTGGGCCAACGAAAAACGGGTTTGGGTCGAACCAACCCTTTTCATTATACGGTTTGGGCTTTCCAACAACATGACTGGGAAGGTCGTCATGCTTTGGTATCATGGAGATGTAAATGTACTAAGCAAAGATAGTCATGAAATTGTATTAGTTTGTAGCCACATTGGTGATTCATGGACTTAGAGATCGACAAATTGATCTGATGCAGTTCCACAACTCCCTGTTTCGTCTTGTGAGAATTTTTATTTTAAAAGAAAGTACTATTGGCGTGTTGAAGTATCGCAATGGTTGCATTCAGGATCTGACAACCATGAACGCTTGATTTGGTTTTACTTGGATGATGAGGTTTTTGGGACAATTGATTTGCCATCAATATGGGATGTCTTTTCACTTTTGATTACCGTTATGAATGACACTATTGCTTTAGTTATTTCTCTCGATAATGTGAATGAGAACTATATTGAGATTTGGTTAATGAATGAAACTAATAACAATATTGATTGGTATAAACAAGCAAGCATAAAATGTGGTGCAATTATAGACCTTCATGATTATTGGATTCCAATTGGAGGAGATTGGGATAGTGAAGTTTGGCGTCCAATAGGAATTTTTTTTTTTTTTTTTGGACGAGCTCAATTCTGATTTTTGTCATTTTAAGATTAACATGCTTAAATTTTAATTTTTACAAACTAGTACATTTACGTTAACAAATATAAATAAAAGCATAATTTAATGATAATCTCTATTTTCAAAATTTAACTCAAAAACATAGTGCAAGAATTCAAACTCCACAAACCACTTAACACTCAAGTTCAAAGGTGTACGTACATATAAATATAAAGGTCAAATTAAAATACCAATAAGGTCTTGGTATTATAGTGTTTTGTTAAATTTAGTCATTGTACTATAATTTTGTTCAATTGAGTCATTGTACTTTAAAAAGTAGTACAATTAAGGATAATAGTTAAGGTGTTAATATAACTGTTAATTTAGCCGGCGTGACGTTGACATCATAAAAAAATGATTACACACACGACTACACAAGAATTGCATCATAACATGCGATTTGAGTTTTTGGGAGTTTTTTTAGTAACTCGACAGCCAGGCCTAAAGGACTAGTTCGAGTAGTCTGGTTTCCTTATACAATTTACTTTTTTTTAGGTATAATCTCTTAACTAGAGCCAAAGGACTAGCTTGAGTAGTATGATTTTCTTATGTAGTTTACTTTTTTCAATTATAATCTCTTAAATTTAACAATCTTAAATTTAACAATATTTTCATGATAGTCTATTAGTTTTGAGTTAAGATTTCTTTCAAATAACATATAATTTATTGTGTACATGCAATATAATGTATCTCACGTCATTTACATTTCCTGCTGGCATAGAAATGGAATCTTGTCTAAGGGAATAGTACAAAGTTTTTTTGTTTTTTTTTTGAAAGGAAAGGAGGCTTGTTTCTTCATATATTGGGAATCCAATTTTTTCTCAACAAACTAAGTAAAGCCTGCGAAATTTTCAATAAAATGGCATGATTTCTTCAACGGCTGAAAAGTTGCTTGGAGAACTACTGATATTAGAAGTGTGCTAGCCATCAAGTTGGAGATATGGATGATCCACGAAATTCATTGCGCTGATGACTTCATCATAACCAACTAGGTGAAATGTTTTTTTTTTTTGAGTAGTGATGAAAATTGCAGTCATTATGCGAGGGTGTGTATTGGATAAATCTCATCTTATAACTTTAGACGGTTAATGATCACAAGAAGATAAGATAAACTATCTTAAGTTGCTCATATATGATATGCTCAAATCAAGTTGAATAACCCACTCAATTGAGAATTGAAAAGAGAATTGAAATTGTAACATGGGAATCTATCCTATTTTACTTCATGTGCCCATGGGTGGTACTCGTGGTAGTAAGTGGCTTTATTTATTTATTTATTTTTAAAAAGAAACTTTACAAATAGAGTGATGTGCGATGTGTTTATCGAAATCCTTACCAAGAACGATGAGAGACCAATTTTTTATTTTTTATTCTTTTTAATACTTAAAGTTATGATTTTTTTTTTATTTTTAGTATTTTTTGTTCCAAATTGTGATTCATATAGGCCATGTTTGGTAAATTGTTACTCTATCAGTCAATTTTGACTTATTTAATCACTATTAATTATTTGATTTAGTTAAAAAATCAACATAAGTATTTGATTAATTAATTTTTTGTAAATCCCAAAATGCTAAAATTCAAAAAGCTACTCCAGGCAACTTTTTCAATTAGTTTTTAAATTTTTTTAAACAAATTATATCAAAAAGCTATCGGCTAACAGCTGTTAATTTACTAAATATTTTTCTACAATCAGTTAATGTTGTCAACTAATTATATCCTCTAATTAACTCAATCAGCTAATAGTCATTTACCAAACATGGCCATAGTATAAATTGTGGAGTTTTGCACCATGGTTGTTAGAAAGACAAAAATCACAAACTGAGAATGCAACAATATTTTTCTTGTGAGTGTAATATTATTAAAATCAACTTTGACCCATCATTCATTTGTGATGTTCTTTCTTTTCATTAATGTAATCCATTCTTTCTGTCACAAAAATTTGATCAACCATTAGTGGTAAAGTTTTTAAAGAAAAATAATATTATATTTTAACAAAAAAGTATTACACGCATAACGTAGGTAGTTACTTACACTTATATCAATGTGACTCAAATAGATCGACTTGGGATAAATATTCAAAGAATGTTTATGGAGTATTATTGAGATGTTGATCTGAAATGGCAATAAAAAATGGAAAGCTACAAATTACCAAGAGAGTTGCTGATTGAGCTTTGTTATTAGTAAACTATGTTAATCCAATAGTAGGATAACAAAATTATTTAGGGTTGGGGTTCAGCCTTTGGAAGAAGGATAACAAAATTAAAATTGACAAACAAATTAAACATAATAATGAGTATCAAAATTCACCAATCAAACGCCACCAATGTTTATTTGTTCATACACATGTAATGTGATTTGGGAATCCATTTCTTTTTCTCAACGAAGTAAACCAAATCCAACCAAATTTTCATTAAAATGACATGATTTCTTCAACGGTATAAAAGTTGTTTGGAGAATAGCCATCAAATTGGAGATGTGGATGATCCACCAAATTCATTGCTTACTTCACCATTATAAATTAGCTAGGTGAAACAATTCTATCATCTTTTTTTGAGTGACGTGAGAAAGCACAACCATTATTTCAGGGTATAAATTTCGTATTGTGATCTTAGCCTACAAATAACTACAAGGAGATAAATCTATGTATTATGTTAAGAAAATGTAAAAAGATTAAATATTTATAAGAATATAATTTTTAGTTAAAATATAATAAAAGAATATAGCTACATTTATAAAAAGTGGTGTATGTGGATCTATATATTGGAGCCTTTCATCCACTATAATTATGGAGTGTAATTTAAAAAAATTAAAGCACCATCTTTCCAACAAATTTCAATCCTTCATCTGATCCCATGCATGCATCGCACATGTTACTCTGATCTTGATTTGAAATGCCAATAGAAAATGGAAAACTGCAAATTACCAAAGGAATTGCTGATTGAGATTTTGGTGAGATTACCGGTGAGATCTCTTATGCAATTTAAATGTGTTTGTAAATTTTTCTATGATTTGATAAAGAACAATCATTATTTTGCACACAAACATTATGAAATTAGCCAATTAAAAAATGATTGTGTTGTTATAGAGTTTATGCCCGTCGACTTTCCCCATCCCAATAAAGTATTTAGTTTATTTTACAAAGAATTCGGGTCGGATGAGATTGAGTCCACATACCTAGACATTCCAAATTCAATAACAAGGTATGTCAATTGTTGTCATGGAGTGCTATGTCTAATTGTTGGCAAGGGTGATTTTGTTATCAATCAAGTTGAAGTTGTATCGGATATGGTTTTTGATGTAGTGGTATGGAATCCATCCACTAGGAAAATTAAGGCCTTACCATCTATTACTGTGCCTAACAAACCGTCCAACGTATTACCACTTCAATTTACTTTGTATGAAGGGTTTGGATTTGGACTTTCCAACAACATGACTTGGAAGGTCGTCATGCTTTGGTATTATGCAGATGTAAATGTACTAAGCAAAGATAGTCATGAAATTGTATTAGTTTGTAGCCGCATTGGTGATTCATGGAGTTGGAGACAAATTGATGCAGTTCCACAGCTTCCTGTTTCCTCTTGTGAGAATTTTTATTTGAAAGGAAAGTACTATTGGCGCGTTGAAGTACCTCAATGGTGTGCCAACCATGAACGCTTGATTTGGTTCGACTTGGATGATGAGGTTTTCGGGACAATTGATCTGCCATCAAAATGGGATGTCTTTACACTTCTGGTTACGGTTATGAATGACACTATTGCTTTAGTTATTTCTTTCGATGATATGAATGAGATCTATATTGAGATGTGGTTAATGAATGAAACTAATAACAGTATTGATTGGTATAAACAAGCAAGCATAAAATGCGGTACAAGTATAGACCTTCATGATTATTGGATTCCAAACGGAGGAGATTGGGATGGTGAAGTTTGGTGTCCAATAGGAATTTGGAATTTGGGTGGTTTTGTGCTTGTATTTCCATCTGTTACACGTTTTATACCGGATTGGGACCATGAAGATGATTATTTGCCTGGGCAAGATAGTTATATACCGTACCTGGTAGCAATTGATTTGGCAACTCAAAAGCCAAATATTATTTATTTAACTCAACAAAGGAAGAGTGTTAGCATTGTTTCAAATAATTCTAGTGGCTATGCTCAAATTTACCATGAGAGAAATATTAGTATAGTTGAAGAATGGAAGAACAATGTTAAAATCTTTCCGGATGCAAAGTATTATGTTCGAGTTTACAGCGAGAGCCTAAAATTCCCTTAGGATCATAATTAAAATAAATTATATTATATTATTTATGTACGTATATTTATGCTCTCAATTCAATTTCCTCTTTTATTTTCACTTGTCTACTTATCTTTTTTAATTGAATGTGTTGCAATATATGCATTATTGGAAAAGCAAGGCCCTTGCGTTTACTTATTTTCTTTAATGATTAATTTCGCTTCTAGTTACCATGTTCGTCATATATGTTTTGTATTATGAAATTATATGCTTATAAATAATTAACGGAATATTCCTTTACTAAAATTTATTCTAACGAAATGCAAGGTTATTTAAGGGAAAAAATAATATAATGGATGAAAATGTGCCAACGTGTTAACAAATTAATTAATTAAACAATCACAATACAAAGCCAAAATAAAGAAGTACATATTATTAATAATATCGCAATAACATGCATTATCTAAACATTTGTAAAATTAAAGCCTTTTGAAAACAACTTAAAACCAATTTCAATATATAGCACCTTCTATTTCACCTTCTGAAAATGACTACCAAAACCATAACAATAAATGTTTATAAACCACTTTCTAATGCCTATATAAAGAGGAGTCCAAAGGCCCCAAATCTTAGCACAAACCAAGATTAAAAAAAAAAATGAAGATATTTTTAGAACCTATTCATGATCTTATTCCTCCGGAATAGAACTCTAGCCTTTTCCTCTCCAAAACCCCATATATTAAATGATACCAATCAGAATTAGGATGTGAATCCAAGGCCACAAACTCCCCATATTCCCCATCTTCTAACCCCACCCCACCCTCACCCAGTTGGACAGGCTTTCAACTAGTATTATTTGGCACCTTGGGTATTCCTTTCTACCGTGCTCCGCTAAATGCTTTCCTGCGGTATTTAAAATTAAAAAAAAAAAAAACATATTCATAACTTCTTTAGCCACTAACTCTACATATAGATAAACAAATTAAACCAATTAAGCAAATGCAAAACCTGTGAGGACTCCTTGGTTGGCTGCAAGAGATTGGATTAGAAGAAAGAAATGTTTTGAGAAATACTTTAGATCACACATGTATATATCAACACAGTTTCCATTTTGCCTAGACAGGCAAGAACCAAAGCAATATATAGAAGATGATGTCCAACAAATTATATTACAGTAAATTAAATCGAAGGTAATGAACAGATACTACAATGTAATAGAGCCAGTAACTTTCAAAAAAAAAAAAAAAAAAAAAAAAAAAAAAAAAAAAAATCGAAGGTAGGTTTGCAACGCATGTTTTACTTGCTTATCGCGGGCAAAAAAAACACCGTGCATTGGAATGGAGGTGATATATTATATGAAATACAGTTATTTAGCAAGAAAAACATGAGCCATCTAACAGGTAGGTATGTCACACATTAATGCTCCACTGCCACCCCATCCATCGGTATATCTGTTATTTATACCCTTCCTCTTCCTCCTTCAATTCATTCCTCCTTGCAGCAGCTCAATAGACTACTCCCCTACCTTCTTCCACATCTCCTCCTCCTCCATCTTTCCCTTGCACCTCAAACAAGCAATCAATCCCGCCGTAGATCAGAGGTGCTTTTGGGTTTGCTTCTCAAAAAAAAGTTGTGGTTTTGGGCTTTTTCTTTGTTTTTAATTGAGGAAGGATCTTCAATTCTGTCGAACAGATCAGAGAAACCACCTTCCTTTCTTCCTTCTTCACTTTCTTCTTGTTTCTTATTGATTTATTTACAATTATATCACGGCCTCATTTTTTTTTTTTTTTAAATAATACACTATCCTTATTTAAAGAAGGGTAGCATAAACTCATATTTCTTTGTTCCATTTTGTACTAGTGGTTCGCGGGTGCTGCCCCGCCGGTCTCCTTGCGCTGCTAGTCCGAACCAGGGAGAGAGAGAGAGAGAGGGCGTGAAGTATACCAGGTAAGCCATCTTCCTCTCAAAGAACACCACTTCGTTAATTTAAGTTATGATGTGCATTTTTAGTTAGAAAATATTGGAGCCCTTACAGAACAGATCTGAATATTTTTGTTTGTATTGATACTCAACTAAGGAATCAATTGACGCAAAATTACTAAAAAAAAAAAAGTTTAATTAATTATATTGAGTGAATTAATGTAAGAATATCATAAAGGTGTTTTGTAAGGAAATTGAGCATGGTTATGTAATGCCGAAAGAATGACAATTTATATAAGGAAATAAATCCTAACAAATCATAGAAAGGTGGTAGGCAATGTAACTTATTAGTTTATTAGAACTTACCAAGTTTATACAATTTGTTGAGCATAGTTAAATTATCTCAAATGCATGGTAAGTTTTAAATTTTATTATTTATAATTTAATATAAAGTAAATTGTTATGTTTTACTGTTTGCTTGATTAGAATCAAAACCCATTAGATGTAATCAACAAATTGTATAAGCTTTGTTAGTTGTAACAAACTTATAAGTTACATTTCCCACAACATTTCTATGATTTGTTAGGATTCAATTCCTTTCCTTATATAAATTGTCATTCTTTTGGCATTTTATAACCATGTTCAATTTCTTTACGAAACATCTTTAATATTATTAATACAATTATCTCTTTTACTATTTTACACCTTTAATTTATGCAAGCTTGTTGATCCACATATACTCCAGATCAATTAGTTCTATTAGACATTAGGCATTAATTTAGTCGTACAAGTGCATACAAGGCATGTGCAATGTGTGTTGAGGGTTAGGTTTTCGGTGCGATTGAAATGGGTATAGTGGTTGTTAAGAGTTCAATGGTGGGGTGTAATTTTTTTTTTTTTTTAATAAAAGATTGTAATCTCTTCAAAAAAATAATAATAAAGAAATTGTAATTATAGGTATTAAATATAGAGCTAATTAAGTAGGCAAGTCTATAGGTCATTCATTACGGATACAAAACATTATTCTTTTACACCATAAAATGTGAAAGAGTTTATGAGTTTCACAGATCTTCCAATTACATATATATATATATATATATATATATATATATATATATATATATATATATATATATATACACTGACTGATATACTCATTTTTATGAATATATATACGTGGTTAAGTTTGTTTATATAATTACGTACTCCACAATTAGTCATTAGATCATAACAAAAGTGTTTACTTAAAATTGTATACTTATCAAATTTAATTAATTCCATCTTAAACTATTGTAAATTTGATAATATATAAGACACAAATTCAAAGTTTACCAGCCAAACGATTTTATTGCATAAAAATTAAAGATAAATGGCTTGAATTGAAATACCCGTTACATAGCAAAATAAACATTATGAGAGGGGCATCGGCCGTGCAAAGAACCAACACAATTTATTATTCTTGTGGCGTCTGCATTAAAACAAATCCGGACCTCTGTGAGGTAGTCGGTATTAGAGGTTTGTATACACTGAAGTCCTACGTTAACATTTATGGCCGCTTGAATTGCATTTTCATACAGGGATCTTGCGCCCATGACTCCGGGTATAATGTATCCTTGTTGTAATGCATGAAGGATATTATTCATATTAAGTAATTGCAACCATTTGGTAAAGTATTCCGTTTGATTGAAAAGACTATATGAATACATCCCATGTTTCTCCCATTCGTGTCTCCAAAAGCCTTGGTCTGTATTGCTATATTGGTAGTTTGGCCATTGCACCCTAAGCTGGGTAAGTAGCGCAGGGTTTAATATGAATGCATTATGCATTTTGTCTCCTTTTCATATTAAACCCTGCGCTACTTACCCAGCTTAGGGTGCAATGGCCAAACTACCAATATAGCAATACAGACCAAGGCTTTTGGAGACATGAATGGGAAGAACATGGAATGTATTCATATAGTCTTTTCAATCAAACGGAATACTTTATCAAAGGATTCCAATTACCTAATATGAATAATATCATTCATGCATTACAACAAGGACACGTTATACCCGGAATCATGAGCGCAAGATCCCTGTATGAAAATGCAATTCAAGCGGTCATAAATGTTAAAGCGGGACTTCAATGTGTACAAACCTCTAAGACTACTTCACAGAGGTCTGGATTTGTTTTAATTCATACGTCACAAAAATGATAAATTGTGTTGGTTCTTTGCACAGTCAATGCCCCTCTCATAACATTTATTTTGTTGTGTTATGGGTATTTCAATTCAAGCCATTTATCTTTAATTTTTATGCAATAAAATCGTTTGGCTGGTAAACTTTGAATTTGTGTCTTATTATCAAATTTGCAATAGTTTAAAATGGAATTGATTAAATTTGATAAGTATAAAGTTTTAAGTAAACACTTCTGTTATGGACTAATTGTGGAGTACGTAATTATGTAAACAAACTTAACCACGTATATATATAATATATGTAATTGGAAGATATGTGAAACTCATAAATTCTTTCACATTTTATGGTGTAAAAGAATTTATTAGTTCTATATTTAATACTTATAATTACAATTTCTTTATATAGTGCAATTGATGAAATTGGTTGTATCGATTATGTTTTTTTTTTAATGTTTTCTTTGCTTGAATTCGAGTAAATAATTGCCCAATTATCTGTACAGTGCGCGTGCAATGTGCGTGCGATGCACAGATAATTTTTTTTGTTATATATTTTGATAATAAAATTACGGTATTAGTTTTAAAAATTTTAATTTTGGTAGGGCCTTATTTATTTACCCGAACAGGGCTACGAAAATCTAAAAACCGGCCCTGCAGCCCGTGTATGCTAAAATCTTGTATGATTCTAGAGTGTATGCACAAACTGCCAAGCCTTACACATAATGCTGGGGGCAATAGATGGATAGGATAAACCCATCCCAGGGGTATTGTTGGGAATGAGTATTCCCCATGAGTGAAAATAAAATCACTAACACAAGTATCTCTTTCATCATTTTTTTTTCTGGAGCTTTGATTATGTTGTTATGTAATGTAGTATGCAATGAATGCTTCGATGACATATTTATAGGCAAAATTTATATGAATTTCAATTAAATTCAATTGTTGGTTGAACGTTGCTTTCCGTTTTGTTACAAACATGCATGCACGTGCTTCGTATGTTTTTCCATTTTTACGTAAAAATGTAAAACATACGAAGCAAGTAAGCACGTGCATACATGTTTTATAACAAAATAGAAAGCAACGCTCAACCAACAATCAAATTTAATTGAAATTCATATAAATATGTCAACGAACCATTTATTGCATACCACATTGCATAACAACATAATCAAAGCTCCAGGAAAAAAAATGATGAAAGAGATACTTGTGTTAAGTGATTTTGTTTTCACTCATGGGGAATACTCATTCCCAACAATACCCCTGGGATGGGTTTATCCTATCCATCTATTGGCCCCCAGCATTATGTGTAAGGCTTGGCAGTTTGTGCATACACTCTAGAATCAGACAAGATTTTAGCATACACGGGCTGCAGGGTCGGTTTTTAGATTTTCGTAGCCCTGTTCGGGTAAATAAATAAGGCCCTACTAAAATAGAAATTTTTAAAACTAATACCGTAATTTTATTATCTAAATATATAACAAAAAAATTATCCGTGCATCGCACGCGCACTGTAAGGATAATTGAGCAATTATTTGCTCGAATTCAAGCAAAGATAACATTAAAAAAAAAAACATAATCGATACAACCATTTCATCAATTGTACTATATAATATTCGTTGTTATAATTTAAAGATTATAACAAATTTTTTCCGTGCAACGTACATGTAAAAATAGACATATTATGGAATAATAATAATAGTGTGCACAAGTTTTGAACCTTAGACCTCAAAGTTAAAATACAATAAATTCATGTACCTACTATTTCTTTATAAAGCCTTTTAAGTTTAATTAAAAACTTTTAATTTTTATTTCTAAACTAACTAGGTAAAAATAAAATATTGAGCTTCTAAAATTTGGGGCCCTGTGCGATAGCCTAGCTTGCACAGTCCAAAATTCGGGCCTGCGGGCTGTGGCCCTTTCTATTTTCGGAGGCTGGGGTTCCTCGAGATCCTAATGCAGAACCTTATTTCTCGGTGACTAACTGAGTATATATGTTGTTTTATATTGTTTAACTAAGATTTTAATATTTTACATCTAATTCACTTTTTGTTTTTGGGTTTTTTTTTTCTTTTTTCTTTTTTCGTTCTTGACCATAATGCATCCAGTTTAATGCGACTCATCACCTTGCGCTACTTAACCAGCTTTTGGTGCAATGGCCAAACTACAGCTATAAAAATTCAGACCAAGGCTTTCGTTCTCCATATTTGCGTTCCCTTATGGCTAATGGGAATTTTTATTTCAAAGGAAAATATTATTGGTCGAAAATTGATGGAGATTTGGTTTGGTTTGATCTGGATGATGAGGTTTTTGGTAAGATTGAGCTGCCCTCTAATGTTAAAAATCTTCTTCACTATACAATTATGAAAGAGAATATTGTTGTGTTAACTGGGCTTAAACCGTGTACGGTAAATGAGTTTTGCACTGAGATTTGGGTAATGGATGAAAATAATAATAACATTAATTGGCATAAACATGCAAGTATACCCTCTAGCGGTGACATATTTAGAAATGAACATTTTGATCCGATAGGATTTTGGAATCCGAGGAGCCATTTGCTTGTGTTTTCCGGTCGTATGGATTTAATGTATACAAATTTCTATGATAGTGGTATTGATGATGAGGAGTTTTATTTCAAGCCAGGTATTTGACCGAATTTAATTTCTATTGATTTGGAAACCCATGAAAAGAAGACTATTTCTACAAGTCAAGAAAGGAAAAAGTATTTTGTTTGAATCAAGACGGGCATGTTCAAGTTTGCAGCGATAGGAGTGTTGATAGTAATATTCTTTGGAACATGGGAGCATATGCACGAACTTGTAATGAGAGTTTGAAATTACTTTAGCTAGCTATAAAAGAAAATATGTATTAATGTTTGTTTACTTTGAGCGTTTCCTTTTAATTTACACTTTTCATGAAAGGATATATGATTTTGTTTTATCAGTTTATTAACCTTGATTGATGATAATAAGATTTTCTTTTAGTGTTTAGTTATCTTAATTTCATTTTGGAATTATACTTGAGGGCCATAGATTATTGAAGATATATAGAGAGGGTATGATTCCTTTGCAGATTCAGAAGTAAAATGTAATTTCTGGAAGAAGAAAGTAACAGGCAGTAATATTGAACAGGAAATAGTAAATCATTCCATCTAATGAAACTGTACATCAATGTTACAGTCCTAAATGAGAATACATGACATTCAATTTGAAGAAAGGAGTGAACATCAAAATCATTTAAATCGCACGAGAGACTTTACCAATAACCTCGTCAAAATGTCAATCAGTGTATCCATTGGTAGTTTGTAGTCTTCCATTTTCAAAAATCAAACAATTTAATGCTCGAATATTTAGTCGTCAATAAATGAACAAATAATCTTTAATGGATAAAAATAATATTTGAATCTTCAAAAAAGAAATATAATTATTGTCAACTTCAATTTTGTATTTTTGTAACAACAAATCAAAATTTCATTACAACAAAAATTTAGGCACTTACTATGTATCCTCTTCATCTATTTTTTCGTCGTACAATCAATCTGTCGAGCTAGGCTAGGCTCTCAACATATTCCATGGCTTTCCGCTTCACCGATTCGATCCTTTCTTCATCACCCACACTTTTCTCATACGCCAGATATTTCTTGAATAAGAACTGCACTCCCACAATAATAATAACATTGGTTGGCATTGCCAGGTCTTAAATTAAACACACAAAATAACACATTATTGCTACTATATATATATATATATATATATATATATATATATATATATATATACACACACACACACACACACTTCTAATCAGATGAGAACCAACATTAACCTACAAATTAGTGAAGGATTGCACCGCAACTACTACATAATTGTACTATTATGGCTCCCAGCCATGCCTGGAGGACCTTGCGGTGCAATCGTTTCCGAGTGCGGTGCAATTCCTTACAAGTTCGTAATTTGCAAGTTAAGATATATATATATATATATATATATATATATATATATATATATATATATAGGGGAGGGGTTAAAAAGCATGGAGAAATCCACATACCCTTCATTTTTGAGAAATCAAATACTAAAATCTTATTATTACTAAACTTTTTAAGTTTGCAATAGTTACAAAATGAACTCTGCTCTTAAAAGTTTTCAATAATTATAAAATTCACCTCGCGTTTTTTTACTAAAACACTCTACCATTGATGAACACGGCTGAGAAGTCCTCACTTCTTACAGGAGGACTATGTTATTATTTGATCCTGGCCCCTATATATGTGTGTGTGTGTGTGTGTGTGTGTATATGTATATATATATATATATATATATATATATATATATATGAAAACAAACAGATGAAAACATGTATGTCATGTACCTTCATTTTTTTTGGTGGGATGCTGAGACTTATTGCCCTCTCAAACAATGCGCGTATCACATCCATATCACCCACTCGAATCTCCTGTTAATTTCACAACATTTGCATATATGATCCATCAGGAATGTGCAGGCAGCAGTGAATTGAATAACAAAAACTACGATACATATACATATATATATATATATATATATATATATATATATATATATATATATATATAAAGCTCTAGAAGAGAGGCGAGGCGAGACGAGCATACCTGATCAAGATAAACACTCCACAAGTCGGTTCGTTTTGGATACTCCTTAAGCATTCTTTCAAACATGGATCTTCCCCTATCAGCCACCCCACATTTAAACTCCAGAATTGCTGTTTGTGTTATAAATTTTATGTGTTTATGCTTGGGCAGACATAGGAGAGCACGGTTTACAATAGACTGACTGTTGTCCTGGTTTTGCTTTAATGCCCACTGTATACGCCTCAGCCAAATCTGAATGAATAATCACAATAAAAATATTGTTAATAATTAGAAACAATAAAAGTAGAGCATAACCACGAGACTTCGCAAGTTATTTCAGGCATCACTACCTTGCAGGAATGCTTGAACTTCTTCACCATTTTCTCTAGCAGCTCATCACCCAGCTTGTAATGCTCAGTCCGTTCATACACACCCAATAAAGCCAGGTGCACCTTCTTCGGATCACAATACTGCAATGCTCTTTGAAACACTTTCATAACCGCTTCCTGAAGAGGACAAAATTATTCACATTTCTAAGCACATACAGGAAAAGAAAAAAAAAAAGTCTTAAAAGAAGAATCTAAAGTCTAAACAACATCAAACATTTTTATTCCCAAATACCTGTGGAGGATTTCCATATTCGATTTCCAAATTAAAATAAGCAACCCAAACATTTAGCTTTTCAGACTCTTCTCGAATGTTTATTGTACTCACAGCCCTTCAGGGAAAAATAAAAAGGATAAGTGTAAATTTAGTCATTAAACCAAAGGAAAACAACCAGCAATAGACATATACATACAGATCAGAAATAGGAAATGTTCAAACTTGAGCAGGTAAAATGTGGCCTAGTCTGATGGTGGTCAATTCATTATAATGATTCTTTCAGTCAATTGCAATTTTTAACAAGCTCAGAATAAGAAATTTGCTATTTTCGTTCCCACAGAAAAGACTCAACTGTATGACTTACTTCTCAGCTATAGATCTCGCCTTCTCTACATCACCCAAAGAGAGCATGAAGGCCATGTACTTGATCCACACAAAGCTGCTATTGGGGGAACTTCGAACTAATTTCTCAAACTCATCAGTATTCCTGGGGATATCCTTTTCAAGCAGCCTTTCTTCAGCAGCCCTAATTTCCCGTTCCCTGCACACAAATTGGCCATAGAGCCTCAAAGTTATTGCAATTACCAAACCTTCAAAAAAAAAATTAAAATCAGTTAGATAAATACCTCTCTTTCTTTGCCTTCTTCATTGCACGCTTCTTGTCTTTTTCATCCGTCGTATCTGCACCACCAGTATGATCTGGATTTTTGTTGACTGCATCATCAATGTCTGAGTTTTCTATATCATCAAGAGGAACCTCAAGTGGGGGAATGGAAGCTCTAGATTCAACTTCTGTGAGAATATTGTCTGTTGTATTTACAACAGAAACATCAATGTCAGCATCGCTGCTCTCTGGAAACACTGTTGATTGTGTACCAATAAAAACACTATTCCCCTTGTCAGTACTATTGATACTCTGCCTTGAAGTTGTTTGAATATCCTCACCATCATCATCCCTAAAGTATGAATTCTTCATGCCAAGAGAAATCCGGTGTCTGTCTTTATCCACCTGGTGTGTTGGAAGACAGAGAAGTTAGGCAAAAGAGATCCCACCTCCCAAACCCACATTCACGGGTTTGATTCCTTTGCAGATTCACAAGTAAAATGTGATTTCTGGAAAAAGGAAAGTAACAGACAGTAATATTGAACAGGAAATAGTAAATCATTCCATCTAATGAAACTGTACATCAATGTGACAGTCCTAAATGAGAATACATGACATTCAATGAGAAAGGAGTGAACATCAAAATCATTTTTCCCCAATACTAAGGGCAAAACAAGTTCTATTTCGGAATTTCTTTCATTCTTATGTTTCATTTCATACAGAGAAGAACCATTTTTACTCTGTATTCCTAAAATATGATAGTGACACAGCAAAAGCATTACCTTTAGAACCTTCACTCTCACAGTTTGACCAGCTTTATATCTACTTTGGACATTGTCGATGTGATCGTCAGAAAGTTCTGAAACATGGCACAAGCCAACCTAGGCAAAGGAAAACAGCAATTTTAAGCACACAGATTAAACGAGTAAAGAATAAAAATAAAAATGAAGGCTTGCAGTAGTGAATACAGGAAAGACACAAATCCATAGAGAAGAAAAAACAAGAGACTTGTTATTTTACCAGATTAGTGTTATCAACAGAGATAAACAGACCAAAAGATTCTATCCGCTTAATTTTCCCTGAAATAATATTTCCAGCAGAAAAGTTGTTCAATGCATCTATGTCAGACTTTCTAGGAGTAGCTGAACTTGACGTCCTTAGAGTGACTTCAACACGCTTGGATAATGACTCAACTGAAACTACCCTGCAGTATAGACATCTTAGTAGATAAAAATCATCACAAGCACCAAAAATCAAATAATTATCACAAGCACTGAAACACAAATCTAAATTAACATACTTGCCGGTGACAAGCTTTCCCACTGGGAATTCTTTCTCAGGGCTTTCAATGAAACCATCCGCCAAATTTGACAAGAGAATTTTTGCATCAACCTTACGGGAGAGCATAATAAAGCAGCCTTTTGGAGTCACATTCTTTACATAGCCCTGACACATACATCATAACCATAAGGTAAATTTTCATGAGTTGCCATAGAAGATTGCAGGGACATTCAAATGCTAAATCCTTATGGAGTCACATTCTTGATATAGCCTTCACACTACTTAACTACAACTAAAGGAGATGCTTAATGATATGGCCTATGGGCCATTAAAAGGACACAAGATAACTGATAACCATTTCAAAAATGAAAGGGAAGTACTTGTGCTAAAATAATAAGATGCATATACCAATATACTGACCACCAAGGGAAAGAAACACTTCCATCACATTGAGATTTCAAATTACACATTCAAAGATATCTTCCCTAATCTCATTTTCCAATAATTTGGGCAGAACTGATAAGCAAAAACTTCAGTTGAGAAATGAACTACAATGACTTCTTCAAAAACCAAAAAAAAAAAAAAAAAAAAAAAAAAAAAAAAAAAAAATTCACCTAAAGGTATACAATGTACAGCTCTGTAATTACTTGGTGTCCTAATATTTTAAAAATTAAAACTTCAAAAAGGAAGAGCGACAATGGGTGATTAAGCACAGCACCTCTTTCAGATGGATGTGGTATGAAATACAGCTTACAGAAAACATAAATAAAGCAACAATTCAGCATTTGGTTCACATCAATTTCTGTTTATGCATGGAACAGAATAATAATTCTCAGAAAAGCTTGAACATAGGAAAACAAAATTAGATCTACCTGCACAGTCATGTCTGGATGAAGATCCTTAATATCCTGTACACGTCTATTCTGGGAATGCCTGTAAATAATTTAATTACAATCAACAAAAAGAATCTTATACAAAAACCAACTCAGGAATGAAGAATAAAGTAACATAGGTCTCTCTACAGATCCATATTTAAACAAAAGGCCCAACACCAAAAGAATTCTACATTCTGAGTCACTTTATGAAAAGCATATTAGAAACATATCAACCATCATATTTTGTTTAAATTGAATTGCCCAAGCACATCATTGGAAGTTGGAAAATGTACTTGTCCTAACTAAATTCAAGGTGAACAGCAGTAACTCAATCCACAACTAACACCTTCTAGATGATAAGCAATCCCTAGATAAGAAAAATAAAAATGGAAAATACAAGCAAGAATTTATGTTCAGACAGAGCAATGGTTGTGGACTAGTGAGTGTAGATGCTATAGGTATTAATATTTAATAATCCTTATAGAACACAAAAAATATACTCCAAGTCAAATACTGGACTTACACATCATCATGCTCAGAAATGTTTTGATTGTTCATGGTATCTAAGGTCCATCGCAGTGACAGATCAACATGAGTTGTACCCTTGACAGAATGACCAACTTGTAGGACCTTGCATTTGACAAACTGTCCTTCACAATAGCCAGACAGTGGATCAGAGACCCACGGGTCTCTTAGTTCAGTAAAGTGAACCTTGCCAAACAGATGGGCGTCAATTTGAACTAGTAAGCCACCAACGCCAGGAAGGATTTTGGAAATTCTGCCACCCAAAACACTGCCTTCACGAATATGGCACCTCGCACTTTCACTTGAAGGAACTGTGTCCTCTGGTGTAATAAGCAGGGTATGTGGAACCAAACGCAGCAATTTCTTCTCCTTGTTAGCACTTAAGATATAACCAGAAACAGACTTTCCCACATAGAACCTTTTCTGAAACTCTTTGAGCTCACTAGGCTCTGCAGAGCTGTCTAAGATATAAAGTTGTGCCCTAACCTCTCGAGATATAGTTAGCCATGCCCATTCGCTATCCACCTTAAACACATAACCAGAAAGGAGTTGGCCTGTAGAGTAATTGAAGCTTTCATGTGGGCCATCCATATCTCCTGGTTATGCAACGAATATTAGATGCCAATAATTAAATGGATTCCCATATAAATAAAAATATAAATAAAAAAATCATAATTGGCTCAATATCAAACAATCTGAATTATTGAACTTTAAATGATTTGTTTAGCAATTAGCAATTTCAAAGAATAGGGGATTGAGAAAATAAGCACAAAACTTAGAGCCAAGCCAATAAATAACACTGATAAGAACAATGACTGGCAGATAATAAAATCTAAAATTTCCACTAAACAGAAGGACCTACAAAAGAGATAAAGGGGGCGCACACGCACTCCAATGATAATTGATAAGACATATACGTAGGTGTAGGTGTGGTAAACATGATCATGCATGTGTCTTTATTAACACCAGAAGACAACCACCCAGCATTGGAGTGTGCAGACCAAAAGTATAGGGACTAATACTAAACGCACTCAAAGGAAATGAGAAAATGATGTATAACTGTACAATATACAAAAAAAGGGTAAAACAAAAACCTGCAAGCACAGAGGGTTTGGTGGATAATTCCCACTGATAGCCTCTTTTATTTTCTGATCTACTGTCCTTTGAAACTATCCTTGCAGTTAGAGTCTGTCCTATTCGGAAATCATTAAGGGGCCCTTCAGTAGTATTATCATCAGTTGCCTGTTAACAATATCATGAAATCCACAATTTGTTACCTTCTCTTAGTAATATTTAGAGGTGACTTTTCTTTTTTGCTCTTTTAGCAGGACAGAAGGGTGAATCATATAATTATCCATCTTACCATTGAGGGTTTTTTTTTTTTTAAAAAAAAAAAAAAAAAAAAAAAAAGGCTGCACAAAATATTTACCTCAGTTATGTGAACTCTACCATGGAACCCAGATCCAAATTTCAGTCTTAATTCAAGAGGCTTTATATCAGTGATCTGCAAAGCAGCCAAAGCAAAGATATAATCATGCAAATATTTTTTTTAAAGGACATCAAAACAGACGCTCCAAAACTCAAATGATTTTCGTCTCTTGAATGAGATATATCACCTCTGCTTGGACAAGAGATCCAACATCATAACTAGAATTCTTTTTCCCCCTTTTTGAACTGGAGCTCTCAGCAACCTCACTGATAGCTTTAAGCAGCAGAAGCAATCTCCCACCAGTTGAAGAATCAGGAAGGGCCATGATGGTGGCAATGACACTGCCCAAAGTAAAACACCCATTTCACTAGAATGCATTTACGCAAAGTGAGAAATACAAAACAAACATCTGTCCCATCCCCCAAACTCCAAACAAGGACAAGTTTGAACTAACAACCAATATTTCCCCACATCATGTGACAATTATCACCCTATATTTTATACTTTACATGAACACAATACTTCAAGAATCAAATAGAGGTTCACAATAAGGTCAAGAATCAACTCGCTGGCATTACACATGATTGCCACATTTAGCAAGGTTTCACTTCTTCAATAGGCAAATTATTCAGATTTTATGGTTTACCCAGCTCCCCATGTGTCATATTCCACTGGCATACTGCAAATAGGTTTCTTAGGTTCTTTTTCGTAATTTCTCATCTCCACTCTCTATTCCCCTCCTTAAACGACATGTATAAGTTTTTCTTTCCTTCCTCTAAACCCAAAATGATGAGGTTCCTCCATAGCGAATACAGTTGAATGGGGGGAAATTGAAGGAGAAAATGAGAAAGTACCAAAAAAAGGACCCTAAGAAACCATAAATGCAAATGTCGTCTACCAACTTCATTACTAAAAGGGACTAAATTGACAAATCACTAAACAATTGAGGGACCACATTTAAGAAAAAAAAAATTGAAAGAGAGGTCCTGCATTGCATAAGGCAGAACAATTAAGGATTTAAGGGGCCTAATGTACAATTTTGTCAAGAAAAAAATTAAGGGGCTACCTCTGTCCATTGACAAATTGCTTCACTGGGAGATTTTGAGTGTTGAAATCATTCAAAGATGCATAACCCAGAGCATAATTACATGCTGGAACTGAAAGAACCTGTGTTGTGCATACCACATGTTAAAAAGAAATCGCTAGAAATAATCATCAGTTACAAAGAGGTCAAACAAATAATCCAGTACAAAAATAAAGAAGTTCAAAAGAACTTGCCAAATAGTTTTCCTTCACAATCTCAACCACCGCATTCACAGATTGATTCACCTCCAAATCTTTTTGTGCTTCCCTTTTGCGTTTCTGGCAGGTGAAAAATAGACAGGAAAAAGTGAAATAAACACAGATCTAAAGGGGAAATGAAAAGTACAAGCACCATCAATAATCTAGGATGCAGCAAAACATTTGAAATATTACAAATATGATACATTGAAGTGGCCTTTTTGTTTCTCTTGCAACGTTAATAGCAAGGCTGTACACAAAGACGAAAAGTACTGTCTAACCTTCTTCTGAGTTTTGTCATTGGCAGTCTGTGGCTTTGATCCATTAACAAATTCTGGCTTTAAAGATAAATCCACAAGGTGCTCTATCTTGGAAACATCAATTACTGCTGCTTGAATAGTAGAACCCGTTTCCACATTGATACCACCCACTGAAAATAATCCATTTTGCAAATATTACATGTTAAGAAAACAAAAGAGTGAAAGACAATATATTTGGTCAGTATATCATGATAAACTCTTACATTGGCCTCCCGAGATAAAGCCAAAAACGTCATCATACTTCTCAAAGGTGACAACAACACCAAACTCTTTTATTTCATGAACTTTTCCCTCAACAATGCTACCAAGACCAAACCCATCAACCCAATTTAGTCCAGAGTCTGCGGAGTCCAAGGATTGAAGCTTGGCAATCTGTTTTGCAAAGTAAGAGAAGTCCAAATATATCTATCCATTTAGATAAAATGAATGAATAGAACTTGTATGATATGACAACACAAGAAACATGGTTCAGGTATTTTATGTTAGGGAGTATGTTAAAATTAAAAATGGAAAAAAAAATAGAAGGGGAAAAACATATGGATATCAATAATTAATCAAGATGCATAAAATTTTAAAATTTCTCATTGAAAACATAAAGAATGTGCATTGCTTCACAACATAATGTTTATCTATAAACACAACTTATAAAATCTGTAGTTAATTTTGTCAGCTTCAAGTCATAATCATTCAAATAAGATTAAAATCCCAACCGCTACTGCCAAAGTATTAAGAAATACCTTGTGCTCTAAAAGAAAGTATTCTTGAATAAAGGTAGCATCTGTTGAAGAACACAATGACTGCTTCAAAGACACTGTTATTCGACCAGTTTCACCATTAACCTGAAGAAAACAGAATTAAAAAGCTTATATGACATTTCTAAGTGCTATTACAAAAAAAGGTTCATTTAAAATAAAATAAAAAAAATAAAAAATAAAAAAACCTACATCAAGTATGTTTGTACAGACTGATTGTCCAATGTAGAATACTTCCGAAGTATCGTATCTCCTGTCATCAGTAGCCTGGATAAAATGAAGAATTTGTGATGGATCAGCAGATCTATAGAATGATGCTTTCCAGCAAGCATAACAGAGGATCTTTGCTAGTCTAATAATAGCCATACCTTGCTTCTGGGAGAAAAGCCAGTCAAGCGCCCTAAAAAGCGAACAAACACACCATTCCCAATTACATTACAAACGTACCCCTGGTTAAATTATTCAAATCACCATTAGAAAAATCTGACAATTGCAACAATCTGTTACCATAAAAGCATAAGACCAAGAACAAACTCAAAACAGGAACCGAATTTAACAAAATGGGAAAATGTTCTTACATGCACCACAGAATGGGGGGAAATTTGATTAACATCCAATGGAAGCTGCTGAGCTGTGCTGATGAGCGAGTATTTGGCAGAAAGAACCAAATTGAAACCTTCAATATCTATAACCATAGAGAATACTGTTAATATGTTATTCTTAAAGGAATTTATATTTCAACATAAGCTCCCCATTCAACCTAACTAATAAGCAAAGAGATCCCATTTCCACTTTTTGGATATCAGGTGTGTGTATCTACAACACTCTTTAACTAGAGGCACACACACACACACACACAAAACACTTAATTGCGATATATAAGATTACCCAGAACCAAAAGCTGGTCAAACTCATATCCAGGCTTCAAGACTGACTTCATTAAATCAGCAAGACCTGTATGGTCATGAAACCAAACGCTAATATTACATGTAAAAAAACAAAGCTAAGCAACATCTAAATGTAAGCAAGTGTAACAAAAAGTATCGGGCAAACAGAAAGAAATCACCATTCTGCAAAAGGTCATTACACCTTCTAAAGAAATCAAAATGAGCAATCATCAGACAGGCAAGAGTTAAAGGTATACCGCGATGATCCGATAAATGTTGTGTAGAAACTGTTCCTTTCAGATGACTTTGACCATTGTTGACATTTACCACTATAGAATCAGGAGTAACTAGCTCAACAATACCAGAAACAACAGTTCCTGGTTTGACCATTTCAGTCTCGGACAGCCTAGAGAAGTAAATTAATAATTAATAATGTTAAAAATACAGGCAAGCGTATTGTATAATGTTAAATATACACCAAGGAAAACAAACCTCATTGGTCTTGTTGTAAAACTGAGGACAATTTGTCTTGAAGCAGGGCTAGAACTGACAACTCTACACTTGACAACTTGTTCAACATGATACATCGAGCTTATGTCAGACCCAGGATCTAACCCAAGTTCAGATCTAGAAGGATAAATGTGGATGTTACTTATTAATTCTATAACAGCTGAAGCAAATATGTGACCATTTCCTGATCTTGGATTGATAAAATGTATGTTTTCCAAAGTTTAAAGGCATTGAAATTAGCAGACTTATTTTACAATAACACTGACATATCTTGAGTATAATTTTCCTTTTTAAACATATTCCTATGGAAGCCTTGAAACAAAAATAATTGTTAAACAAATTAAACACTGCTGCCTTTTCAAATTTTCAAAAAGCATCAAATTATTAACACATCTAATATTCCATGTGATAATTAATAACATCCGTGACTAGAATCAATGTAAAAGTCATTCCAAAGTGGGATAACAGTCCCTCCAATATTTGGCCCAATGCAGGAAATATTCAAAGGGGGGATAAACAATCCCTACCCTAATAACTTATAATGGTATAAGTTAGTTTAATATTTATCCCACTCTTACCCCAAGACTCAAAAACTTATGGTATTGGCAATTGTGATGGATATCTCAATCCCTCCCAATCCATTAAACCAAAAAGCCCTTAAGTGACAACAGAAAGGGAATAATGATAGCAGGGACAGACCGTGGAGCGAAGCCTTGGACTCCATTGTAGAACCGGACAAAGCAACCATGCTTTTCAATCTTTGTTATCCATCCATGTGTTATCAGTCCTTCAGTAGCATCAGTGTATGAACTGAGAATGTCAAGCTTAGATTTCACCTACAAATTCAGTAGAGAACTAGACATCATACAACAGACCACATATTTTCCCATAAAAACAGAAGCATCAAAATCACAAGCTTAAAATATACTAGTAATACGTCAAGAAGGGGCATAGAACTAGTATTGATCATAAAGTCAAGAAGCAACATACAAGAGTTTTCTTATGTGTAACTGTGATCCTCTTGGACTTGCAACCAAGCACCCGAAAGACTAATTCAGATCCAACCTGCAAAAGATTTTTTTTTTTTAAATTGAATACCAGTTAGACAAGGAAAGAACAAAAAAAATGCACAGAGACACATTATTGACAAGATAGATCATAATCACCTGGAACTTCTTCCGAGGCTTTACTATTTCAAATTCTGACATATGTCGTAGAGGACAGAGTGCCTTTACCCCACTGGAAAATTGCACAATGGCACCAAAACTGTCAACTGTAATAACTTTAGCTTTTACCACCATCCCAGGCTTGACATCTGAGTGAGTAAAAACTGATCCTTCAAATGCACTGGTCTGTAGTAATATGAAAAAGAATCAAGCAAGGTAAGTCTATTGCACCAATCTATGTATCGGAACATTCAGTAGTTAGATACCAATTCAGCAGTCTTGGGAAAAATATATTTTATAAGTAGCAGTCATATATGATCACTTGACAATTTCGTGTAACAGAACACGTATATCCAATCAAAACAAAGATGTGTTCATTCATTTATCTTTGAACGATGTAAACTGACACTTGCTAAAGCACACAGAACGTTGAATATACTTTTCAATGTTAATAATATTCTTCAATAATAGAGGGGAAAGAGCAACCTTCAAAGAACCAGTTGCAAGCCCTTCTAGATTCCTAAAGCCAAGAACTCGGACACGGACAACTTTCCCCGGCTTGAAAGTTTTCTCCATTTTCTTCACTTCCTTATCATCCACGTCAGATATCTGTAACCTCACAAATTGAATATAGTCATGAAATTTAAAATAATAATAATAATAATAATAATAATAATTTAAAAAACAGAATTCCCGCATGACATCAGTCTAGAAGGTGAAGAACAAACTTACATAAACATATGCTGGAGTTGGGACTGGTGAAGAGGGAATCTCCAACAGAAGACCCAATCCCTTGTCAACCCTGATTACTTTTGCTTGCTCAAAGATGTCTCCAACTTTAACCAGCTGCATAGCATAAAAGCTATCCATAAAGATCATACATTACATACAAATAAAATCACAAAAACTCCCTTTCTCATCATCAGCAGAATCAAAAGGGTGTTATCACACCCTATTATTAGTCCAGCACCCCGTCTTCCAACAACTTGGAAGCTTGAGAAGAAATGGTATTATCCTGACTATCAATTATAAAACCAAACCATGAAAGTCCCATGATTAGAAACTATAAAGTTTCATGCAATGCCTCCTTTAGGAGGGTGGAGGAACAAACCAGTAAATTAGAGCCTTGAATTGAAATAAATTTAAACAACTGTTCAATAGACTAGAAAAGGATACTGCTTTAACAAACAAACTCCACTGCTTCACTAGCCATCACCAATTCACCACCCCCTCCCCTCTCTCTCTCTCTCTCCCTCCCTTCCCATTAAAAAGAGCAAAGTAGAAAGAGTAACTCCAGCAGAGAATATAACTTTTGCAACCTCCAATAAGAACTTACTGAAGGTGGAGCCTTTTTATGGACCAGGTGAGGGTTCAATGACAAACCGACAGCTCTGGTTGCGGGATCAATAAATAATATCCGAGCATTAACCTGTACCAAGCCAAGATACAAAGTTAAAATCACTGGTCAGAAGTCTACCTTGGCATCACTTGAGAAGAACAACAAACTTAGCATGCAAATAAATAAACAAATGAAAGAACAAAAGTTCATCTACAGTATATATATTCTACATAATGAGTATCCTTCTCTATATTCATTTTATACTTATATACGGATCATAAGTGAAAACCCAGTGAAAAATACTCTCTCTAGCTTCCCCAAGATAACACAATAAATGTAAAAATACTACCTTCTTATTTTGAGGGTAATCGTCCTTCCAACTTGGAGGGGGGAAAACTTGCTGTAGATGAAATATGTCCACCTATAGGAGAGAAATAATCATAAATAAAAGAAATGCATAAAGGACACTAGAATATAATTTCAAAGTATGAACCTAGTTACCAAAAAACATAAGAACAGAATACAACACCCCAAACTTACAGTTCCAGTGAAATAAGTGAGGAAGGATAGCATAACTCCATTTTCAAGCACTGACATGACACTAGCATTAACCATCATGCCTGGAACTAGAAGATCAATGGAAATGCCCTTGAGGTCCTTAGTCTGCACACAATGACATTAGTATATGAGAAGTTGGGGAAGAAATTTTTATATTGATAGGCATAAACAAGGGGGTATTTTGCAACAGAAAGAACATGATGCCAACAAGCTGCAATGCATAACAGGGATGGATAGAACCAAAATATACAATAATGAAAATGAACATACCACATATTTTGCAATTGCATCAGGAGCAGAACTTAAATATACCACTTTACGAGTTCTGTCAACACTTTTGACAACCCCCTCCACAAGCTGCCCAGTGTTCATTTTGTCAACTGTTACACGTATGAGAATCACATAGTATCAGTAATGAAATAGCCTCTCATTTCGAGAGCTTTAAGGGGAAAAAACAAAACAGAAGTCATTTCATTCAACTAAATTGGATAAGAAAGAGATCCATCAAGTCTATAGAGGTAACCATAATGCCTACATTAACTTCTAGGAATGAAGAGCTTGTGTAGAAAGATAAATTACCAGATTGACTGTGTATAGGCAAAAACCCTGAAAATGAAGGTAACCCAAAATGAAGTATGTATCCATGATCTTCAGTGCTTTTGATATAAGCACTAAGAATCTGCACATCAAGATCACAATATATGATGTGTTCAGAAACAAATGGGTATATCCAGTTAAATTTTACAAAGAACATGACTTGGGGAAAGGAATTCAAATAATTATTTTATTTAAAAAAAAAAAAAAAAAAAGACAATTGCTACCCTAAGAGCAGAAAAGTATAATCAGTAACAATTCATAAACTACATACAATTCCTTCTTGAATAGCATCAAGAGTTAAGTTCTTGTGCAATAAAGCAAGACGTAGAGACAGCCAAATTTTCCACTTCCCTGCTTCTTTCTTATCATCATCCAAATGCAACACAATGCAAGAAACCAGCTGCCCGACATGAAATAAGCCAGAAAGATAATTGCTCTGCATCTCCATCTGTTAGAATTAAATTTTTAGAATAAAAGAAACTGAATGAGGACAACATTTTTCGTTAAGTCTTTTAAAGAAAATAAAAGGTTGGATATGATGAATTTTCCATTTAGTACTTACTAGTTTATTACAAACAATTTATGCAGTCATTAAATACTAGAAGCATTTATGACCAAGTTAAACATCCACTGCCATGATTTTTAGTTTTGTATTGTGGAATGGAAAATATTACAGCACTAGATTATTAACAAGTAGAACAAGAAGCAGGAGATGTTGAAGTATGTTTCTAAAAAAGTCAGCACCTCATTTGTCTCATTATCCCATAAAGGATCATGTGCTTCAGATGCCAGAACTAATCCACGTAAGCCCCCTGGAAGGCTAACAACAATATCTTTCTCATTTACTTCAGCAATCACCCCCCACAGCTTCATTCCTGGAGAAATGTTCTGAAAATTATACAAAGAGAGAGAGAATTTCATACCAGCAGTCAGTATAACTAGAATGGTAAAACATCATTTGTAAAGAAATGACCACATTGCTAGCATAAAAAAACTGCTACTGATGTGGGAAAGGGTATTATAAATGCTACCCCATATAATATAAGCAAGAGTGCAAGACCAAAGGGTTCATTCCAAATGAGACAGTAAAAGGTCCATGCATGTGGAACTCGATGTTACATTTTATGTTTGACAAATAGACTCAAATTCAGTAAACTGATGCAAATCAGATGAAAGAATCCATGGAGGTGCCGCTTTGGCATTTAAGCTACCCAAAACAACATAAATTCACCACAGTATCAAAATCCTGTATTGACTACTCTAAAATGGTAAGTGTTAGCCTTAAGACCATGCCCAAGTGCCCAACTGTCAAGTGGCAAAAGCTTTTTAGGCCAGACCACTGACCAATTGGTTAGTATCGGCCATTCACTCCTTAATGAAGGCAATTGGCCCTTATTTTGTTGTAACGGAGTACATTCATTGCTAATCATGTAATTTGAAGTATTCGTTAGCATATCAGATATGTAGTATTATAATCACTGCATCAAGCAAAAAAGAATGAGAATGTAAAAACTACTCCAAAGAAAGGTAGTACCTTCGGAGTAATTCTGTTTGCAGACTTGGGTAATTTTCCACTAATACTATGACCAAAAAGTGAACCCAAATCATCCTCAACTGATTGGTTTTTCTTATACAATTTATGTTGCTTCTTTTTTTTCAAATATCTGTCCTCAGCTTCAAATTCTGCATCCACTTCCGCCCGCACTTCATCAAGCTCTTCTTTAGACAACAAGCTCGCTCCACCTTCAAGACCAAAACTTATAAAAATAAATCCATATTCAAAAAAAAAAAAAAAAACATTATACACATAGATATATAGTATATCCCTTACAATAGTAGAAAAGCATGCATTTCAATACCTAATCTTATAAAAACAAATTCAATTTCAAAAAAAAAAAAAAAAAAAAGGTAATATTCCTGTGAAATCATTCTGAAAAAATATCATCCTCTTTGCACCATGAAAAAAAAAAAAATTAGTCACAGAATTACAGTGCATTACCTATGTAACAAAAATAAGACAACTGAAAATATGTAGAGGGGACCAGCAAGAATGCTTTGGCATGTGCCTCATAGAGCATTCACATTTACCTTATTAGCCTAAATAACCTTCTATAGTTGATTTTCTACTAGACTAGATATGATTCTTAATTTGTTCAGCTGTTCACATAAAAATATATTCAAACACTTTTCTTTAATCAGTGCTATCCCAACACTGCCAATTCAGTGCATATTTACTGATATGTTTTTATGCCATTGTCAGTTCACTTGGACATTGAATTCATTATCAGCTAGAATTACTCCGTATTTGAGCACAGACAGCTGCCAGGCATATACACGAGCAAATTGAGCTTAAAAAGGGCATGTGCTCAAATTGAGATCCGATTACTATTATCACTAAGCGTATGACTAATACTTTTTCATCTATATGTTTTGAATTAAATTTTATGAAGCTGGGTGAGTTTCTATGCATAGAGTTATAGGCATACCTCTGGGGAAATCGGGGACTTCGTCTTCAAGCTGGAGAGGCGCCGATTTCCCAGAAAAACTAGCGTTGCCTGCTTCATTGTTTTTGCCTTTGCGTTTGAAATTTTTGGGATTTTTTATCAATGGCTTCGAAGACTTCTTGCTTGGTTTCTTAGAAGGTGGCGCCATTGTCAAGCTTGAGAAGGTTTAGAAAGGGTTTATGGTACAGACGATTAGGAGTTTAAAATAGCAGGTGGCGAACCGGGTTCCTTCTCCTTTTCCCGGGCCAATATTTTGGCCCAGCCCAATAATAATATGGATTTTTATTTTGTATAGATCATTAGAGCAGCTGCATCAAAATTGTTCATAATTATGAATATATAGTTTAAAAACTATGAACATATAATTTTATAATTATGAACATAGAGTTGTGAACATGATTATGAACATATAGTTCTGTAATTATAAATATATAGAGATTCAATAATTGTGAATATGAAGTTTAAAAATTATAAATATATCGCTTTATAATTATGAACATAGAGTTTTGTAATTATGAATATAAAGTTAACAAATTATGAATATATAGCTTTATAATTATAAACATATAGTTCATTAATTATGAACATAGAACAGTGTTCACCTTGCAATGTGGACACGGTTCCATAGCATAATGATTGAGACCATTACACAAGTGTTCATATTTTAATTTACGAGAAAGATCACAGCCGTTAGATCTATCAATTTGTATACCATAGATTAGAGTTTACAATAGACTATGAATCTCAATGCATGTGTATATATTTTATATTGTGAGATTTTGTGTTTTGTATTATGAAATTTTGAATTTTATACTTAAACAAATCAATAGTTGTATCTTATATTATGAATTCTAGACTAATAGTAAATTATAGACTAATTCATTTCTTATAGAACCTTTGGCAGCATTTTCTTCTCCACCTAGTTATCGCTTAGTTAGCCATCTCATCTTCATGAGTTAACAACCCAACATAAACACTTGCAATGAATACATAATGGTCATATAATATATCAACTTGATAAATTTAATTAAACTTTATATGTCACGATTTTATTAATAATAATAATAATCTTTATTTTACAAAATAAAGCTTGTAGTTGCTACATGAATATGGACTATATATGCGTGAAGATAGTCAACTGAAGTTGTATCATAATTATAATAATAACTTGAAAATATCAAATTGCTTATTACCCAAATTTTCTACCATTAATAAACCATTGTGGGTTGGCATGGGTTTCAAAAGACTGAGAGAGTTCAATATTGTCATGTTAGGCAAGCAAGCATGACGTCTTATCCAACATCCTGATTCCCTCCCTTCCAGAACATACAAGGCTAAATATCATCTAAAAAGATCTTTCTTAGAATTAGCACAAATTGGTGGTAACCCTCTTTTATTTGGCGGAGTATCCTCGAAGCTCAATGAATTGTCAAAAGGTGTAGTCGCTGGAGAGTTTGTGATGATGAGTCTATAAACATCTGGAATGACCCTTGGTTACTTACTTACTTAACAAGAATCAGCCCTTCTTCATCCAATCCCCAATACCACATGCTACTGGAATAACCAATGTTTCTTCCCTCATTCAATCTGGAAACTCTACATGGAACGACACCCTTATAACTTATAAGCTCTCTTTTCACCCAGGATGATAGGAATATAATATAGGATGCATTCAATTTCTAATTTGTTGGGTCAGCTTTATGGATCACATTTAATATATATTTTTTTATCTATTTTCATAAGATTTGAATTTCTTGAGTTCTATATCATTAAAACTATATGAGATACCTTTAAACTTATATCATACTTAAACTAATTTATGTTTGTGTCAGATTGGTCTAATTAAGGACTAAAGTGTTGGCCAACTTAAATTTTTTATATGAGAAGGGTTTGAACTCCCGACCTTTTTTTAAGGGATGACAATGCACGATACCAAGCTGGTTTCTTTCAATACTTATTAAGTGTATATATCATAGTCTATCCAATTGTATAAATCATGTATAGAGTATACTATTTTTATACATAACATATATGATGCATTATTTTTATACGTAGTATCCATTATTTGAATGTGTACAAAATAATATGAAAAGAACTTGATAGCTCATTATTTATATGCATAAAGTTCATTATTCGTGTGTTTAAGATTCATTATTTAAACATGTACAAATTAATTGAATGTTGTTTTCAATAAAAATTTGAATATTTAAAAAAAATATTTGGTGGACTCTCATTTTATACTCTCAATAATATATCGTAAGATTTGGAGTAAGAGCTAAGTGAGTAACCGCTTCAAGAGAATTAGCGCGGTATTAACAGTTTCCCGCAGTATTAGCCTTAGCCGCCCTCATATATTCGCTTTCAGTCTCTCCCACGCTGAATACTATAGTCTTATCAGAGTCCTTCCCGGCCGAAGAGGTATGTGTATTTCTCCGTGTACATATGAATGAATGCATAATCTTTGGTTTATGTTTCTATTTTGATCTTAATTTCTACTCGTTTTCTTTGCGGAGTATGAAATTTTAGCTATGAATTTCTGCATTGCGGTTTCTCTGATCGTTCTCGTCGCCGTTTTCAGTTTCGGCAACGGCGATTGCGCAGCTAAGGTACATACTTCTCATTCGTTTATCATTTGTGTATACCGTTAACCTGATTTTGCTTATCTGAAACAGCAAGGAGAAATGTGCTCCCTATCTTTTGACTGTGATACCGACTTGCATTGTGAGGAGTGTATTGCCGAAGGTGATTATTTTCCGCCTGTGCATAGATGTATTCGCATTCAGCCGCTCAATCCGTTCTCTAAGGCAACTCCCAGTACTCACTAGTTATAGACTAATAGATTTATGTTTGTGTTTGAAAACTCTAAAAAAAAATAATGATGGTTCTAGGTCAAGGGAGTACCATTTAATCGGTACTCATGGCTTACAACACACCTAGTGACTACCCGGACCCAGGACGACTCTGTTATTCAACAGCTCATGGTAATGATTTCTTTCTATTGCCTCAAACTTAAACAAGTATTGATGTGGTTTGTTAGTATAGTGGTACAGTACTGGACTGTGTTCACTGATTATTATTTTGACATGTACTATTTAAAGACATAAGAAAAATGTACTCCATAATATATTGCTGGTAAGACTAAAAATAATGCTAAATATGAGTTGCTCTAAGCCTTGTCTATGTACAGGAAGGGAAGTTAGGAATTGGAAAATGGTAGCCTAATAGGGAAATTTAATTTTTGTATGGTAGTTCATCAATCTAATAATGTATATGGATAAAATCTCCACCACATTTTTTTGTTAATTTTATATCAATGAATCAAAATTTTAAATTAATGATTAACATAGCAATTCAACTGTAATTTACTTTATAGAAAAAAAAAAAAGGATTAGGAGAGCAAAAGGTATTTACTTCTAAGTTGTTATGTCTTAGTGTTTTACTGGTCAATGCAAAACTATGTAGCTTTTCTTATTCTCCTCTTTGAATTTTTCTTGTGTTTTTTTTTTTTTTTCTCTATGGAAATATATTGACCACACATCATATGCATGCCTATCTTTAGTTTCTTTTTTTTTACACTGATGAGCTTTTGAAATGTAACTATTGTAGAATGGCGTTAGGGGCTTGGTGCTTGATGTGTATGACTTCAACAATGACGTTTGGCTATGCCATTCCACCCATTCATCTTGTGGAAAATGCAACGAACCTTTTGTAAGTATGTTGTCAATTGTAAAATCATGATATTAAAATATGGTAGTGTAGTATGTTCGTTGTCAATTATTATAAATTTATTTCCTGCATCCATAGAATGTGATTCAAACTAATCTATGGACACCATTGAAATATCAGATGTCAGTTGTCTTCTATGGCTATTACCTTGGGGTATATTACCTTGGGGTACTTTTGCTTTACTTTTTAGTTAACAGATTTTATTTCTTGATACTCAGCTACCTGTAATAACTGTCCTGAGTGAGATTAAATTGTTTCTTCAAACAAACCCTTCAGAAATTGTCACTATCATGATTGAAGACTACGTTGCAAAGCCAAATGGAATAACGAATGTTTTTAGGGCAGCTGGCCTAGGACCTTTCTGGTTTCCAGTATCTCTGATGCCTAAAAGTGGTGAGGAATGGCTAAATGTTGATGAAATGATTGAAACAAATAAACGGTTAGTGGTGTTTGGTTCAAAGTCTACTAAAGAATCTTTAGAAGGTATCGCATACAAATGGAGATACTTCATAGAAAACAAATGTGAGTTTTCCCCTAATTTTTTGTGTGCTCAATCTAGTAATCGTTACTGAGTACTGAGTACCAATACTCTCAATTTGTAGATGGAGACGATGGGATGATAAATGGATTATGTACCAAACGTGCAGAATCATCTCCCTTGAACACACGAACAAGGTCACTAATTCTTATGAACTATTTCCCATGTGCACCAGATCCTGACCAAGCTTGCAAACATAATTCAAAACCATTAAAGAGTATGATGTATACATGTTTTGAAGCTGCTGGCAAAAGATGGCCCAATTTCATTGTGGTTGATTTTTATAAGGTATCTTGTAGTTAAATTACACTTATTTAACAAGAGGAAAACCATGTATTTTTTTCTTTTATAAGTCGGGACTTTACAGAGAAGTGATGGAGGGGTAGCCGCTGAAGCTGTTGATGAGGCAAATGGTCATCTATTGTGTGGTTGTACAAACATTGCACATTGCAAGGTAAAAACAAACAACTAAGATTGACTTGATTTTTACTCTAGTCATGATGCATGTCATATAAAAGCTAATTCACAAGTAATTACTGTTGCAGGATAATATGACTTTTGGAACCTGTGAGTTGTCCCAACAAACAAGCCCTGCAAATTTGGTCAACAGATCATTTCAATTGTTGTTGCTGTTTGGAATGTGTACATTGGCTCTTTCCTTGTGGTAATACCCTATACTCACCTTTTCTTTAATGATGGCTGGCATTTTAAGTAGAGTGCATATAGCTTTGATAGTTGTTTCCATGTGATTACTTTTACCATAGATGTGTATATAGCTTTAGAGATGCATGATCATCATCAAGAAAGTGATATTTGGCTCATGGAACTATGGAAGGGTAGAAGTTGGTTACGTTTTAATATCTCACTACTATTTGTCTGTTTGAGAATGAAAATTCAGAGTTGAAACCCGATTTCTACTATAGGATGCATTGAATTCCTAAGTACCTTTACTCCCTTTAAGTCAAATCATAGTAGGTGTTTGAGCTCGTGTATTCTGTTTTTGTTACATTGTACAATAGCGAGTTGTCCACTTGTCATAGATATGCATGTATGTTGACTGAGTGACTGTCATAGATTTTCTTTAAACCTCATTTTGTTAGGACTTAGGAAGAGCAGGTGCCCAAGGTGTTGATAGTATTGGGCACTTGATATGGTAGATAAAAGAAGAAACACTGTTCAGTTTAGGCCTCTTGGGGGTGTTTATGTTGTTGTCTAGTCTTATTGTTTTACAGCAGGTATTACCTTTCTCTAATTGAGAGTTCTTTTAGGTAATATTGCCATTTTCTTACACTTTGGACATTCGAGGTTACTGATATGTATACCCTGCAGAAAACTATATGCTAATCTATATGTTAACTTTTTGTAGGGCCTATTTTGTTGGTACATGGATACTACGACGTTTGTTCTCGTACGTGTGAATAAATATTATACGTGTGAATTATTCTTATAATGGTTGTCTTCTCTGCGATTGCCTTGATCTCAAACGACATTTTTGATGTGTTGTTCCATTTTATCTCTAGACCAACGAATACGTTGGCTCATGCTTTGGCTAGAGCTACGACGTCTAAGTATAGTCCTCATACTTGGTTCTTTTCTTATCCTGCTTGTATTGAACATTTCACTATTTGTGAGTAATACATTCGTTTCTTTTGGCCTTTAAAACAAAATTATAGAAAAGATGAAAGTTATTATGTATTGTTATGGCACCTCGGTTGCTAATCCAATTAAGTGTTCACATACCTCGGTGATGGAGTCATTAGTATATAACAAATACTATATTATGTTCATTAATTTTTCAAACTTGATCATATTCAATTCAAAATGTCTAAAACATTCACAAAATATCTAAAAACACTCACAATTAATACATAATCGTCATATAATATATCAACTTGATAAATTTAAGGAATAAGGCTCAAATAGATTATTGAACTGCACACAATAGTGCAATTAGACCACTAAATTTAGAAAATACAATTGAATTCCTAAATTAACAATTTACCCGGACGGACAGAGCTAGTTGCAGAGGAATCATAAGAGACTGCTCGGGGGAATGGAAGAAGGGATTCATATATACCATTGGTAATTGTTCACCATTAGAAGCGGAAGCGTGAGCTCTTTTAAAGGGAATCCAGTTGGCCATATCTATGGGATTCAAGAGAGTATTATACGAAAGCAGTTATGAGGATATATCAAAGTATTTAGCCAGTCTCTCAATTCCACGCATAGCAGCTCATAATATATTGGTAGCCTGCACGAAGGAACTCCGCAACTTTGAAATATGGCGAGTTCACACCATTGCTTGTGAACAGAATCGAACTGCAGATGCCCTTGCCAAACTCTCCAGAACCTACCCTGTCGGGATGCATGTCCTCACATATCCGCCTGATGAGATCAGAGGTCTAATTGATGGGATTCCTGTGAGGCGTGATGTATTTAATTCCTCTGATGTGTTGTATTGAACTATGGGTTTCCCCCTTCCCAATTGTTTAAAAAAATAAAAAAATTACAAGTTTCTAACAAGTCACCCCAAATTTAAAACAATTATTTAGGAAAAAAACAGCGTTTTCGCCTCCAGTGTGGTTGAGCGTCCTCCGGTGTTGGAATTCGAGTCGACGAAGTTGTAAACCGCCGGGAACCAACACCTTCTTTGCGGAAGACCACCACCGCCTCTGTCGATTCCATTAACCAAACAACCCATTAATCCAAGGCTCAACATCATCTCAAACGCCAATATTCTCTTTCAAATCTCTATGCGATTTTTTCAACCATGCATGTAACGAGACTTTAAAATGATCCTTAAAAAAAATTTATCCCTATTACGAGAATGGTGACAATAAAAAAAAAAAAAGGGAAAGTTAGGTAAAACCATCCATAGATCCTTCCTGTTGGTCAAAGACACCACGAGAATATTATTTAAAAAAAATTTAATTTCTAGATATTAAATTAGTTTGTTTAGTGGCATGAAATAATTAAATTATGAGTTAAAGGCCTAATGGAAACGATATTAACTACTATATTGTAATAGAATCAGTACTACTTAAAAAAAATTGTTTAAATGGTGCCTGAGATTAGTGTACAAAATAGGTAAGTTAGAAGAAAAATTGTTAATTACTATTTAAGGAGTAATTTATGTGGCCGGAAGGTAGGCACGTGCTAGAGGCACCTCTATATATTCTTTCTTGCAAAGGCACTGCCTTCCTTCCGCCATTAAAGACACTCTTCTCAATCTTTCATACGTTCACCGGATTCTCTACTCACAGAGTCACAGACAAGGCAGTAGTACCCACTACCCAGACATATTTCTTTGCATTGTACTATGTCAAACCTCGTATGGTTACAACGTTAAGCAGATACATACATTCATCATTGCTTTTGCTAGAGAGAGAGAGAGGGAGGGGAAAGAGTTGAATTGTGGGATATGAGTCGTCTTGCGCCATTATCTGAAGTGCCCAATGGGGACGAAGCGGAGGAGATGTCTACCAACTGTTCGAAGAAATCCCAGACCTGGAGAAACTGGCTCAGAACCCACTTGTCTCTGTTCTTTATCCACAAGAAATCTCACCTCAGAATCCTTCTCAGCGTTCTTGCCTGCCCTCTCTTCCCTGTTTCTGTTCTCCCCAAGCTTCCCATTTCTCAAGTAAGACCTCTCTCTCATTGGATTCTCCACTGTATATTTATAAGCTACTTGATATAATAATTAATTTGATGCTTTGATTCATCCGGGTTGCATTGTTTTGAATGAATATAATTTTCTCATCACCAGAAGAGTATACTAGGAAATGTTCAATCTTTGCTGCCTTCTAGATTTTATTTGAGTGACAGAGGGAAATTTGCATCCACTACTATAAAATAAGTCGAATTAGACAGTTCCCATTGAGAGTTGAACTTGTAATAATGAGATGATTCTAAGTCTTGTGTAATCAGAAACAGTTGTTGAGTGTCGAACTTGTAACCTTGAGGTGATTCTGATGAAGTCTTGTCTAATCAGAAACTGGGAGTTCATCTTGCACTGTAAGTCACTAGTCAGGAGGTCCCAATAAAATTTTTGGTGAAGACTAAAGCAGTGACATTAAAGTGGATAAATGTCAAAGTAAAGAAGAAAAAAAAATCAAATACAGATTTGTAGACATCATTCTGCCATTGTGTCCAAACTGGCTACTGCTCTTTCCTTTACCTTTGGGCCATGCTGTTCGTGAAAAGTATCCATCTCTACCCACCAGTAGTTGGAAACATCAAAGATTTCATTGTTTCTGAGCTTTCACTTTCTTGAACAAATTCCTCTTTTCTGTAGTCCAGCAGTAGTTATGCTTTCCTTTTCAAATAGTACCATGTGTTCAACCATCATGGACAATTAGTTTGAAGTTTGTTGGTGGTTAAAGTTAAAGCACCTATGATGCACAGAAACTTTGAAAAGTGAAAGTAAAAGTTACATCCCGATAAACTTAACGTTGGAATTACTGAATTAAGTTAAAGAATATTGACTCTTTGTGCTTCAGTAGGTTGGGAAAGTAGTTATGAACAGATACTGCATTGTAACAGAGCCAATAGTACTAAAAAAAAAAGTTAAAGAAGGGTTGATTAATGTTAACTGTCTTAACAATGTAGGTTTCGTCATCAGCGGAGTACATAATCCAACACTTTGCAGCAGCAACTGGCTGCCGGAAGCTGGAAGGAATGCTAAAGAATATGTATGTTTCAGGGAAAGTTGCAATGAGTATGGTGGACGAGCTTGACTCAACTAGTTCAAATGTTACGGAGAAGGGTTGCTTTGTTATGTGGCAAATGGTTCCCGATAAGTGGCTAATTGAGCTAGCAGTGGGCGGTCATAAAATAGTAGCGGGCAGTGATGGCAGTGTGGCTTGGCGTCACACGCCATGGCTTGGTGCTCATGCTGCTAAAGGTGGTGTCCGACCACTTAGGCGTGCTTTCCAGGCAAGTAGATCACAACACACCAACTGCCTGTACTTTTTAATTCCCGCTTTGTTTTATTTATTTGCTGGGAAATTGTCAGTAAGATTATATTGAAAGTCAGACTAGTTGGCCCAGAACATGGGTTAAAATCTTAAAAAATGAAGTAGCAGGGATCATGGATGTAAAAGATTCTAGCAGAATATTCCTTTCAAAGATAGTGATAGGCATGAAACAAGTATAGATCATTAGATCTTAATTATTCTTTGTGATCAGCTTTTGCATGTTATTGGCTACTAACTCTTACTTTCTTTCTTTAAGTGCATTCCATACACTAAGATGAACTTTGCCAAAATGGGTGGTGGTGCATGTGGGTTCTGACCACCAGCATCTAATGTCTTTTAGGCCATTTTCTGGAAAATAAACATGTGCCTAGCTAGCCTTTAGGTTATGTTTGATTAGAAAACTCACCGGAAGGATTAAAAGTGGTAAAAGCTTCAAAATTGAGAGACTAATATATGTTGTTGGGAGCAACCCCGACCAAATTGGTCAGACTGTTGGCTTGATAACCACAAGGTTACAAGTTCAACTCCTAGGAAAAGCGTCTATTTGTTTTCTTGGTTTGAGCCAGTCAGCTATGGGCAACCTAGGCTGGTTTACCTTCTTGTGATCCTTTGCTGGCTAGGGTTACCCTCCTCGCCCAAAAAAGTTGAGACCCAAAAGTAGAAAAAGAACTCTAATTTTCTGGCAGTTGACTGGTTTCTGACTGCTTTGTGGCCATTTGTATGCCAAATTTACAGGGGCTTGATCCAATGGCTATATCTGCTGTCTTCTCAGGAGCAGAGTACATAGGGGAAAAACACATCATGGGCACCGACTGTTTCGTGTTAAAGCTTTACGCCAATCACGAAGACCTTGCAGAAAGGAGCGATAACACAGCAGAGATGATAAAGCATGTGATGTTCGGTTACTTCAGCCAAAGAAGTGGCCTGCTGGTTTGCCTGGAGGATTCATACCTAACGAGGATTCAGTACCCCGGGTCCTCCCCTACGTACTGGGAAACCACAATGTGTACAAGAATGGAGGATTATCGGGGCGTGGAGGGGGTGATGATCGCGCATTCAGGCTACTCCAGTGTTATCATCACTAGATTTGGAGACAACTTGAGGCTGGGACCTGCCGTCACAAGAATGGAAGAAAGTTATGTGATAGATGATTTGGCGTTTAATGTCCCCGGCCTCTCCTTCGACTGCTTCATTCCTCCTGAACATTTGCAGAAGGATTATCCAGAAGAGCATATTGAGTTTTGGAGATCTCCTTGGCATCAATAACACAACAACTCAGAGCCATGGTTGAGTGTTTCTAGTTGGTGGATGGCCAGAGGCCAGGAGGACCAACATCCTTTTTCACAACTGCTACACGATAAAATCTTTTTTTTTTTTTTTTTTTTGGATTTTTTACTACTGACCATAGACTATGCAAGATCAAGATAAGTTTTTTTTTTTTTGGTTTGGTGTGTATACATGTTCACTAAATTGTTTGGTTTACTGTCTGTTTTGCATGGTATGTTTTGTTCTTGTGTCTGTATGTGAATGGCAACTAGCAAAGTGTTTAGTTGTTTGACATATATTCTTTAATGAATCAAAGTTAAGAAGTTGACCTTTCTTCATTACGACTTTCCACGGCATTTCCACGAATCTCATATTTTCTTCTCTAAACAATGCTTACTGAACCAATGACAATATGTGAATTCAAAAATTATCTTTGTTCCTCCCAAATGATCTGTCAGGTCGGAGTGTGGGGTCCTTAGGGTTGGGGTTTAACCTTTTGGAAGAAAAATCATCTTTGTTATACTATGGTTATGTGTTAGAATCAAATTCGTAACATTTTATATGGTACGTTTAGTTGGAGGGAATTTAAATTTCATTCTTACTTGGAATTGAAATTTCCAGTAATTTTATTCATGTAAATCAAACACTGAAATTTAAATTTACACTTTATTTCTAGTTATTCATCTCTCATGAAATTGTAATTCATTTTCCACGTAATTTCATCCTTCCAACCAAACGCCCCGTTGGTACAAGAGTCATGTTTCATTTATTTGATTATATTAACAAAAATATACTTTTTTTTATTCTTAAATTATAGGGTAATTGTAGTATTCGTCTCTATTCATTGATTGGGTTCACTTCTTGTCATTTTTCTAACAAATATTATGAACGAAATTTGCAACGTCAATTATAGTTTAAGACGAGAAGTGAACGCAACCTTTTTAGAAAAATGATGAAATTTGTAACATCAATTATAATTTAGGGACAAAGAAGAGAACACGACCAACAAGTACGGACAAATTCTACAATTACCGTATAACTTAGAGACGAAAAGTACAAATTTTCTCCATTATTGATTTTAAAACTTGCAAAAATTAATTTTAGAGGGATACGTTTGGTCCAATTTTGGATAGACTTTTAAAAGTTTGAAGGTATTTGATTTGAACTGTCTAAATTTTGAGAGACTTTAAAAATCATGTGATATTTGATTAACAAAATTTAAAGAGTGGTCGAGTGGTATTGATATGTAAAATCTATTATTTTAAAAAGCTTACCAAGATCAAGATAAAATATACCATAATGTTTGATTGGGAGGAATTACAATTTCTTTTCCAGAAATTGATTGGGAGAAATTCACAGAATTACAATTATATGTCTTTATTCTACTTAGAGCAAATATCAATTTTAGTCTCACGAGTATTAACAAAATGACAGTTTTGATCCACATGTTTAATTCTTACTAGTTTTCATTCACGACTATTGTTTTAGTACCAATTTTCATCTAAGACTATTGTTTTAGTGCCAAAATTCATCACACCGTTCACTCCCTTCATTTAAGACGTGCCAAAATATGAAATTATTAAGGGTAATTTTGTTCTTATCAAATTAAGATCCTAATTTATTTTATTTACAATTTATTTTCTTATAATTATTAAGGGTAATTACAATTTATTTTCTTATAATTTTTTGATTGCAACCAAACGACGTGTTAATTTTTTCTCTTATCGAGTTCACATAGACAATTCAGTTAGTCATAGGTGTGAAATTTGGAAATAATATTTCCTCTTACCGTATTGGAATTTATTTTATTTATAATACGGAGTAATTATTATATGACCATTTTTTTATAACTTATAAATAATGTTGCGTCATTATTTCACTAAATAACATTTTAGTAGAAGAAATCAACGGTTATGTTTGATAAAACAGTTAGTCTATAGGTCAATTTTAGTTTATTTGATCATTATTAATTTTTTGATTTGATTAAAAAATTAATATAAGTATTTAGTTAATTAACTTTTTATAACTCAAAAATGTTACGGAGTAGAATTTAAAAAGCTACTCAAAACAACTTTTTTTTTTAATTAACTTTGAGAAAGAAAATCATATCAAACAACTATCAGTTAATTTACCAAATATATTTTTACAATCAGCTAATGTATTAACTAGTTATACCCTCTAATTAACTCAATCTTTACCAAAGAGGGCCAACTTGTTAGGACTCTTACTAGTACTTGTAACGAAGCGAACATCATACGATTCCTACGCTCCTGTGTCCGATCCCTATTTTTTCTCTCGCCTCCTTGTCTCTCTTTCAAGCTCTAGGGTTTCTGAACCGTTTTTTCGCTCACGAAGGTTAGCTCCATAGCTGAATAGCTGATGTACTTGTAGGAGTGCTTGATTGATCTACTTGTTTCGTTAATTATAGCGTTCACTATCTGCTTCTTTATCTGTTGATTTCTCTAAGCTCTCGCGCATCACAGATATTATATCTCTATCTACTTAATAAAAGTTAGATACATTCGTTTCATTTATGTGTCTTTGGATGTTTAGAAATGCTACTGGCTGCTTGCTGATGAATATTCTCAGTATTTTTTTTTAATATTGTGATATGATGAGCGTTTGCTTGCATTTTGCAGTAAATTGACGTGGGTTTATGCTGAGTTGAGCTCGATTTCATCTTGTTTGCTTTGTTTATATTGGTTTTCTCTCTAGCTAATGGTGATTCTTTATTTTTTCTTGTTTCCTTTTGTTTAAATCAGGGTTTTGAACTGAGTCAATTACCGGCTTCTAACTTGAGTTTATCTAATAGGAAAAGTGGGAATTGTAGCTTATTGATATTTATCTAGTTAGTTTTTGTGATATAATATTTGTTGGAGGAAAGGGTTCTCAGCTATGAGGAACTCATGGGCGGATTTGGTTGAAAATGCAGCATCTGGTAATGCTGGAACTAGTGATGGCAGTGGAGCTTCAGCTTCCGCCAGGAAATCTTCTTATGTGCCACCTCACCTTCGGAACAAACTTCCTTCAGCTGAAGCTCCAGCTCCCTCACAGAGTGGCCCACAGTCTCGGAATGACAGATCAAGTTATGGTGGGTCAGTATGGAGTGGACCTAGGTCTGATAATGGCCGCCAGCGATATGGTGGTGGAGGTCGTGGTGGTGGTGTATGGGGTGGTAGAGGTGGTGGTTGGGGTAGAGAACAGGAGGTCAACCCTTTTGGTAGTGATGATATTGATGGTGATGGAGAGTCTCCAAGTGAACAGGAAAATAGTGGGATCAATTTTGATGCATATGAGGATATTCCGGTCGAAACAAGTGGAAATAATGTGCCACCTCCTGTGACTACATTTGCAGAGATAGACTTGGGGGATGCCCTTAACTTGAACATTCGGAGGTGCAAATATGTCAAACCAACTCCTGTACAGCGTTATGCAATCCCCATTTCTCTAGCAGGACGAGATTTGATGGCTTGTGCACAGACTGGGTCTGGCAAGACAGCTGCCTTTTGTTTCCCAATTATTAGTGGAATCATTAAGGGAAGTTTTCCCCAGAGACCACGAGGACGAACTGTTTTCCCACTTGCTTTAATTCTTTCACCTACAAGAGAGCTTTCAATGCAGGTTGGTGTGCTAATCTAATATGGAGTAACATATTTATGCATTTCGTTAGTTGTTTCATGCCATTCTTATTCTCAATTCTCACGTTTAATCACCCTGCAGATACACGAGGAAGCTAAGAAGTTCTCTTATCAAACTGGTGTTAGAGTGGTAGTGGCTTATGGAGGAGCACCAATGCATCAGCAGGTATGTATCAATTTTGGTCTCTATTTTCCTTACACTTTAATTACTGAAGGTGCGATCCTGAAATATCTAATTTGCTTTCAGGGCCTTATAACATGCCTATGATGATAGCTTTCACTTTCTATACGAGTTTAGGAGCTGTTTTTTTTTTTTTTTGTTTTTTTTTGTTTTTTTTGTTTTTGTTTTTTTTTGTTCCTTGCTTCTAGTTTCATTAACTCAGTATGACCTCTTCAATACTGGTTTAGGATACTTCTTCCAAAATGGAGTTCGACTTTGTAATTCCTGAGTTAGAAATGAATGTTCTCCAGAAACTAGTATTTTAACTCTGGTGCTATGTGCTATCTATTGTCAAACAAGTACTTTGTGGTTCCAAGAAACAAACCTCCATTACATTTCTGATCTTGTCAATATTCAATAGTTAGCCAAAGTGCACTTTCTGGAAATTCAACTGACCATGGATGTTGGTGTTCTTGAAATCAGTCATTGATTGGATATTCTCTTATACCATTTGACTAATTACTATTTTTTTTCCAGCTCCGAGAACTAGAGAGAGGAGTTGATATTCTCGTGGCAACTCCAGGAAGATTAGTTGATCTGCTTGAGAGGGCTAAAGTTTCTCTAGAGATAATTAGATATTTGGCCCTTGATGAGGCAGATCGAATGCTGGATATGGGGTTTGAGCCTCAAATCAGAAGGATAGTGGAGAAAATGGATATGCCCCCACCTGGTGAAAGGCAGACTATGCTTTTTAGTGCCACATTTCCTAGGGAGATCCAGGTTTGTTAATTTCTTACTAGTTGTTTTATTTTACTTTTTAACCATTTGTAATTACTAATCAGCCAGTGCAAGGGCACCCGCAAACAAGGAGCAATGAGGGCAAAATGGAATAATAAAATCCATATAGCCACTCCATCTAGTTTGGGGTATTATGGCTTACATCTTTATTATTATAATATTATCTTTTCATAAGTCATTACACTCCCCAGGGCCTTTCTAATTTTGACGTTTCATGCAGCCTGTCACAAAAATTGCACCTTTACTTTTATGAATTTTCCTTGCTGATGATGATGATGCATGTATAATATGGGGTTGATCATCCCTCCTTGTCAGGCTGTTTTAATTGATGAAAAGCCCGTTATTGTAGCATTACCATTATTTACACTTGTTGGCAGCTCGGAACTTTGCCTGATAGAGTGGCTTCCTGCCTTGTATTTTGTTTAGTTTGAAGTGAAAAATATCATGATTAACTGCTTCCTAGGGATGGGAATTTTGGATATGATCTATCTGGTAATCTTTCTCCGTTTTGGTTTGCATACAGAGACTTGCTTCTGATTTTCTTTCGAACTATGTATTTTTGACGGTTGGGCGGGTTGGTTCCAGTACTGATTTGATTGTTCAGAGAGTTGAGCTTGTTCAAAATAATGATAAGAGAAGCCATCTTATGGACCTTATTCATGCACAAAGGGGAAATGGAGTTAATGGTCAGGTAACTATAATGCATTGTTCTTATCATGTGATTATACCTTTTGATAGACTGCCCTGGTGGTTGTGATCCCAACAGCGAAGGGTGACTACTGACACAAGTTCAGCGTAGTTGGACAACGATACAAATGATTGAATGGTTTTGTTGACTGGCTATCATTTGTTTGACTGTTTGCTAACTTTCACAGCAAGCTCTGACTTTGGTGTTTGTGGAAACAAAGAGGGGGGCAGATGCATTGGAAGGCTGGTTGTGCAGTAATGGGTTTCCTGCAACTTCTATTCATGGTGATAGGTCACAGCAGGTTGGCAATCCTTTTGATATATATGACTCTTCCAAGCTTAAGTTATTTAGCTTTTAATTTCTTGAAGCATAGGCTACTGTCTTTTCACACTGTTTGCTTTGTTGTTAAATGTGTACTCCATATTCGGTCACATCCTCCTTATCACTTCAATCTTACAGGAAAGAGAGCTTGCATTAAGATCATTTAAGAGAGGGGATACTCCTATTTTAGTTGCGACTGATGTGGCAGCTCGTGGCCTTGATATCCCTCACGTTGCACATGTCATCAATTTTGATCTCCCTAACGACATTGATGATTATGTGCACCGGATAGGAAGAACTGGTCGTGCTGGCAAGTCTGGATTGGCAACAGCCTTTTTCAATGAAGGTAATTTGTCATTGGCCAAACCTTTGGCTGATCTTATGCAGGAAGCTAATCAGGAGGTACCAGACTGGTTGACCCGTTATGCTAGCCGTTCATACAGTGGAGGTAGAAACAACAGGAGGCCTGGCGGGAACCGTTTTGGTGCTCGCGACTTTAGACGGGACTCTTTTAGCAGAGGCGGGAGTGGTAAAGATTTCTATGGTGGCGGTGGAAGCGGTGGTGGAGGTTATGGTGGTTACAGTGGAGGAGGATATGGGTCTGGAGGAGCAAACAGTGCTTGGGATTAGGTGTGTCATTACATTGTTTTTAGCAGTATGTATTTGATAATTTTTTTTTTTTTTAAATTTACAATACTTATTCAATACAGAAACTGATGTTTTGTTCCCTCTATGAGGTTGTTGAACCTCTACGCTGTGTTAC